CAATAAAAGGCTCAAAGTCAACACTGTTCCTTTGTTCATCACTTATTACAGATTTTTTGTTATAAATTTGAGTACAAGAATTATATAATTTGTAAAATGACGCTGTAGTGGAGACCTTGGTACAACACTATTAAAAATCCTCCCTGTTTGTGAGATCTGAGGTTTGTAGAATAGTGAAATTCTTTCGTATGTTGAATCTTGGTCTGTTCCTGATGGTGGGAGTGCTGGGCTGATGTATCTCACTGTGAGCTGGGTCTTGGCTATTTGCATAACATGGCAGGTCTGTACGTTCTTCTGGCTAACTGTAAATATAAATGTTTCATAATAGCCTAGTTGCATTTTTGAGGTACAGTGTGAGATTAGAAAAAACTTTATTTCTAAGAACTTGTAAAAAAAAAAGTATTTTCAATAAAATTCCCTACCTCACCTCTATTGTGCAGAAATGATCCCATTTTCCTATGTTGAATTTTTACAAAGTTGGAAACACAAAGGTCCTCTTTCAGTTATTGGCTAAACATTGCTGGTTTTTATCAAATCAGTCAAATAACAGACTGCTTGAAAGTCTGAAGTCTGATTTGTTTCCTTTGCTCCCATTCCATTGTGGTGATCAGGTATTTGGTACCTGAAAAGCAAGTTCTAGAACTGTTATGCCATCTCCAGCTGCTCCCTCCCTGTGCCCCGGGGGCCAGAGCCTGTACCCGGAGTTGTGTAGGGGCTGGCCAGGCTTCAGGGGGGGGGTTATTATTTTTCTTTTGAGCAGTGAGGGGGTGGGTGACTGTTGTACACCAAGCATCTCTCTGACCGTATGGGGGGGAAGGATTCCCAGTCCTTGTTTTGCAGGGAAGGGAATTGGACAAACACTTTGCTTTCTTTAGTTGGGATGTAAATGCACATTCCCGCAATCAGTTCTAAAAATAAATGTCTTCAAAGACTTGGAAGTTATGCCAAACTGAACTAGCTAATGAATTCCTCCTTCCTCTGGAATGCCTAACTTCTTACACCTTTAAAAAAGTAGATCTCTAGTGCCAGGAGTGTTCTCTCCAGTTGCTGCTGGGAATTACTTTCTCTGGCTCCTGACATGGATATAGCAAACCCAAATCCAATTTTTAACCTTAGATCTTTCAGTAGCTAGGTTTGATTCCTCTGTGTTCCTGCACCTATAATGGCAACATTTTCCTTGCCATAGTTCAGAGATTGTGTTCTTTGACAACATCTGTAAAATTTCTGAGGCTGTCCCATGGTGCAGGTCCCTGGGAGAAGGGAAAAGAAGGGGAGAAAAGGCACTGGACTGTGTGTACTGGAGGCCCTTCCTCAGGAGAACTCTTGTTCTCTTTTGCTTTTGTGCAAGAACCAGAGATTTCACAGGAGGGATGGAGAAATGGCATCAGTTCCTGCTTAGCTCTGTGAAAAAGCACTGATTTTGAACCCAAATAATCTCAAGAGACTGTGGGTTTTCTAGGCTCAGTGTCTGCTTCCTTGGAAAGAGAGGTAGATATATTTTTAGATGCAGATTTTTACATCCTATTGCTGTTGGTAGTTCCAAGACCAGTGTAAAATAGGTGGTTGGCATTCCTAAGGACCCTCACTTCTCCTGAGAGGTGAGCAGTGGCTCAGAGCTTCAAACATTACTGTGTGAAAGGACTAGCAAGTACCCTGCAATGATACAAGAACAGTGTGTTTTCAGGTTCTCTGATTTAAGCCCCAAATCTATAGGAAACCTGGAGTCACAGCAAAGCACCCCCCCCTAATGCTTGGCAGCCTGGCAAGAGTTGTAATGGGCTCTTACTGGTTTCGGATTTAAACCAGTAAGACTTGCCCTGCTTGAGTACTATAATTAAGTGTCGCCCTCCTCCCTGAGTCACTTTTCATGGAATATACAGTTTTCAAGGTTTTGCACCCTTTCTCCTGACTACCTTAGACACCTTAATTAGGCATCTGGATTTGGATGTGAAAATCTGTGATCTCCTCAAGTAAGAAATAGCAAAGTTAGACTTGTTTCTGGAATGTCCCACTAGACTGGCTCAGCCAAGTGACCCAAGGCTCCCCAACCCAACGTCCTGCTTGGTTTAGCTGTGCTGTGCCCTGGGCTGGGCTGCAGACACATCCCCCCATCTCCAGCAGATTAGGCTGAAATACTTTGTTGCAGGTGCTGGCCTTAAACTGCCACCTCGTTCACAACATCTGGTTAATCAAAAGCAAAAATGTGCTTTCACATTTTTATTAAAGGCTCGGGTTCAAGTTTTACATACTTCTAAGTTTCAAACTAATTTTAATGTAATTAGCTGGATTAAACATGACACTTAAATTACAAATAACTAATAAACTTAATATTGGAGAGCGCTAACAAGAGATGTTAGTTTTGCTTATAAGTCATGTGCATAAGGAAGGGGATTTATAATGCTGACATTTTTTTAATTAACTATATATTCTAGAGCATTCCCATTCTTCCTCACTTATATCTGTCATCTCAGCTTCATTTCATGCTAAATAAAACCTCACATTTACTTTGCAGCTTTGCTGGAGACACTACATTAATCTGAGAAGAATTAATGCACATCATGGAATTATGTACATCCCACCTGAGTTCCTATGCCAGGGCTCCCACCTTTACTCTGCAAAGTACTCTAAATGTGAAGATCCTTTAACGTGACGTTGCCATGGATTCCTGGCATGAGCACCAACCTGTAATCCTCAAAATGGGACTGTTAACTGCTTGAACTTGGAAGATTACCGTGATGTTGGGATTTCTCTTATACTGGCATTATGTTCTGTCATTGTTATGTGACATTATACCTACAGAAACTATCAATAAAGGATTTTGCTAGAAGTACTGGTTTCCCTTTGCTTTTATAAAGTTTAGAGCAACTCTCTGAAATCAGGCAACTAGCATTAAGCAAAGCTTGAAAGCTATTTGTGAAACTGAAGTGTTTAGCACTCTGAGGAAGTTAGAACTTCCTTCTTTCTCTTTCGTAAAACACTAATTTTCACATTACTGCTGGCACTGAAGTCAGTGCCTTGAATCCTTGAGAGCTCAGCTCTGAACACTTGTAGGGCTGAGTTTTACTGCATCTCTTCCTGGAGCCTGGGTGCTCAGAAAGGCTTAAAGTTTACCCCATTTTGATAGGAAGAAATCTTACCAGAAACAGGACATTTTAAATACTAATACCTGCTTTTTTGCTTTGGTTTATTACTATATCATTATACTTTTTAATTTTATTTAATTCTGTGCAGTTAGTAGTAGCTACTTCTACTAATTGTTACAATTACTTTTACAGTGCAGATGGAGACTGTTACATGTCATCTAATTATAGAGTGCTCACTTCAAGTGTTTTGAGAAACAGTTCAAGTTTCCAATGTGTATCAATACCCTATGAGGACAGGAAGGAACACAAACCCAGACCCTTCAGAGTTACCAGTGACAGGACAAGAGACAAGAGGCACAACTTGACCTACAAGACAGTCTGTTCAAATGTAAAATCCTTTTTACCTTGAGGGTGGTTGAAGCCTGGCGCCTGTTTAATCAAAGGCCTAAGACCCCTTGTACACAACTGCTCTCCAGTATTTCCGCTGTCCCTTAAAAGTCCAGTTCCTTCTGGTCTCTGTTCACAAGTGGAAATCTTTTATATGGAAAATAGATACTCACTTGGCAAGAGTTTTGAAAAATTCACTGTCTTCCTTTCACAAAGGGATGGTCCAGCAACTGCAGAGCAGAAGGACGTTCATGTTGATCTCTGCATTGAAGGTTTCAAAAATCAGGACATAAAATTAGTATTGTGCCTCTGAGGGAATTGTAAAATCTAAATGCAAAATTAGCCTTCTTTTTTTCTTATTTCTCCAGTCACTACTCGTTTTTAGTTTTTTTTGATAAAGCTGGTAGAAAGGAAGGGAGGCTTCAGGGGAAACGACTGTTGGAATTTATGAATCATAAAACTGAAATATTTTATTCTTAAAGAAATCAGTCTCTATTCCTCTAAATTCCTTGCAGAGCTTTGAATAGTTCTGCTAATTTGGCTGTTTCAGGTTCACCAAAAAATGTATTTAGGAAGAGTGGTAATTATTTGTTTGATCCTCCATCCATCAGGCTGTTCTGTTGTCTCCCGTCAATGTCATGCTTGTTAAGGAGCCCATAGGTTGCCCAAAGAAGCTGTGGATACGATATCCCTGGAATTGTTAAAGGCTGGATGGGGCCCTGAACAATTGCCCATGGTTTAGTGGGTGGAGTCCCTGCCCATGGCACAGAGTTGGAACTAGATGGTCTTTATGGTCCCTTCCAACCCAAGCCATTCTATGATTTCTATGGAATTACAGGACAGTAATTACAATACTGGATTTCTAGAGCCAAGGGCTTTGGGCTTTTTCAACCTGCAATTTGGAGGGAATAAAATAGGGGAAGGAAAAAAGGGCACCAATTCCTCAAATAATAAACTAATGGGGAATATGGGATAAGGAAGGCATTTATATTTAGGACATGGTGAGATCATACACTAAATTTTTGTCACCACAGGTGCCTCCAGACTTTTGAAAAGCTAAATACTGTATGTTTCCCTCTACCTAAAAATTCCTTCTCCCTTTTAAACACTCTTCTCTCTGAATCAAAGTATATCTGATGTCACTATATACAGCCCACAATTTTTCTTACTGTTATGTGGTCCACAGGAACCAGAACCATTCCCTAACAATTCTAATTCAAGGATTAGAAATCAGGTTTCCTGCCCCCAAGACCACTGCCATGCCCACTAAATTACATGCTTCTCTCTTGTACTAAAATCTGATCTTTGGAGATATGTAAAAGACTGCTCCTAATTTTATAAAAACTACACACTGAGGTCAGGAACTTAGCTCTTGAAACTGATAGTCCATTTAAACATCTGGGACACAGCTGATATTTAAAACAAAACAAACACCACAAAAATAATTCTTATAAGGGGTGGATTCTAGTGGTTTGGGGTTGTTATATAGAGAACTTTATGTTTCTAATAAAGATTGTGTTTCAAGTATTTCCTGGACTGGCAGTGATAATAGATTTTTCCACTGCAGAAGATAAGAATTAATTAGAAGCCCTTTCATTTAGAATATTGTCCTCAAAAAACTTGCCTGACATAAGCCAAACTCAAGCAGTACTGGATCAGCAAAACACATTAAAAAAATTTATCAAACATTTTGTCTAAAACTCAGTGGTGTTTCTACATGAACATTACAGAAAAGTAAATGATGACTGTAAGGCTTACAAAAAGAGAATTTGTGAGGGTTTTTCTATACCATTATAGAGAGTAAAGCTCTTTTATATATACTATTATTTAGAGGCTTTCCTGAAATGCTGAGAAGCCTAAGCATTTACAAAAGAGACACGTACATTATAAGATGTAACCTAAGCTCCTACCAACAACCTCTACAATCCAAACTGTCTGCATTCTTCCTTTCATTTTCCAGTTAAGGTTCTGCATACCTGGTTAAGCAAGCACGCACAAAATCCACGGCAGGGCTGGAGAATCCCTCGGGAAGGGAAGGCATCAGCCCCCTGTGGGCCCCGATGTAGAACATGGCTGCAATCCTGCCCATGGAAGCCAGGGGCGGCTTTCCTGTTGCCATCTCAAACACGGTGCAGCCGACGCTCCAGATGTCTGATTTCCTCCCGTACCCCGACTCACTGATCACCTCCGGAGCCATCCAGTAGGGAGTGCCGTGCACGGAGCGCAGCGTCTCGCTCCGGGTGCCGCCAGGGCTGATCCGGGCCAAGCGCCTGGCACAGCCAAAGTCAATGAGCTTCACTGTCCCGCTGGGCATGAGCATCACATTGTTGCCCTTGATGTCTCTGTGCACCACACAGTTGGCGTGTAAATAGGCAACCCCCTGGAGAATTTGCCTGGTGTATCTGCAAAGGACAACTTCTGGCAACGGGCCAAAGCGGTTGATAATACTGGAAATGGAGCCCCCAGGAACAAACTCCATGAAAATGCTTAAAATGTTGTGTTCCAGACAAGTCCCTAAGTAAGTTACAATGTTGACGTGCTTCAATGTCTTCAAGAGATCAACTTCCTCATGAAACTTCTGGTACTCCTTTTCTGTAGTGAGTTGATCTGATGTGTCCAAAACAACCTGTTTTACAGCTATTAACTGTCCCTGGCTGGTCAGACCGCAGTACACCTACAATGAAACCAGCAATTATTAAAATGAAATGTGAAATAAAGTATTTACTTATTTTAAATAGTATTTTTGTGTTTGTCATGTTTCGTGTCTCATTGTGTAACCCAAAACACTGAAGTCATTTGTTGATAGGACAACAGCCAGTTATGAGACAAAGTGTAGGTCAGACACAACCAGCACATGACTTAACATTCAGACACTACTTACTGTGCCATAGGCTCCCTTTCCAAGGACTTCCCCTCTTGTCCACATGATAGGATCCTTGGTAGTTAAGCTGCTTCCTGGTAATTTAGTAGATTCATCTAAGTTTAGAAGGCCACTTTCTGCACTTGGTGCCAAAAAGGCTTTACTGCAACTCTGCTTGAAAGATGTTGGTCAGCGTGGGGAGAAAGCAGAGAGGAAAAGAAAGGCTTCATATTGTCCTTACAATTTTTATAAGGAATAATTTTTCCTGTCATGGCTCTGCTCTATAGATTTATATATATACACAGACACCACCCAGCCCATCCATACAATTGCTATGCTAGGTAAGTAAGATGGCAATAATTCCTCCATCTAGCCAGGGATCTCTGCAGTGAGAATGGAGGTATAACTGGCACCTGTGTCTGCAGAAGCATAAGGGGGGGGGGTGTATCAACAGGTAGTGAAAGAAATTCCCTTACAAATTTGTGATTTAAATAGCCCAAAAGCTAACAGGGCAGAGGAGGAGCAGTGCTGGTAGATAAGCACCTTGGTAGGTGACGGCTCTTAACTGACTCGGGGGCCAGAATCTGAGCCTTCTGAGCTCCAAGTTCTGATTAAACATTAATTAAACATCCTTAAGTCTGCCTGATAAGCCAATACTTGTAGTTCATACCTGTAAAAATGTCTGGTTGCACTCAGAGATTCAAGGCCATTGCCCTTTTTGGTATACAAGGACTGTTTGTAGCATCTTTTCATATTCCTTAGCTTCAAGATCTCAAGAGCTTTTGCCTTGCCCAAAACATTTTATACCTGCTGTACAATTAAAATATCCTATTCTCTTCTTTCACAACAACTTCTCAATTTATCTTGACCCATGATATAAGCTTTGACAGCTATTCTTGTCCTGCCTTAGTACCTTCTGGCTTGTGTCCTGACATGCAGCCTCTAACATGGGTGTCTTCAACAGAGCACTGGAAGAATCAGTGGGCAGCTGGCCCAAGGAAAAGAGATTGGATCTTTAATAAGCACATATTTTCTGTCTTTCATCCAAACTTGAGTGAAGCACCACTCAAAGGAGGTAGCAAGTTACAAGAAATTACTCTTACCTTCTCTAGAGCATTATTTACTATTGCTCCATCTCCACTAATCATATTTTCTTCTTCTTCAGTATGTGTGTTTTGCATTTTAAAATCTGTATTTTTTGTTCTTGCAGAGTCTTTTTCTTCAAGCATTAGCAATTCTTCAGCCAGGCAACAAAGCAACTCATCAGTCACATCTTTATCTGTCCAGGACAAAGTGTTTTGACTTGTCTGGAAACTGGGGCTTGTAGGATTTTTTATCCCAATCACTGAAGACTGAGTCAATTCATTTGCCATAATACTATTTTGGGGTGTGTTTGCCCAGCTGTGATTTGATTTTTCTGTAAGGGATTGACACTCCAGTCTATCTGAAAAGGGTGATGCTTCACACTTATTGACAGACTTGAAGGAGGCCTGGTCTGATTCCAGGCCTTTGCCACCATCCATATTCCCTCTGCACTGGGATACACAGATGTTCTGGTCTGTTGTTAGCAGAATGCTCCTTGGAGCAACACAGTCTCTGCAGTCTTCATCGCTGAGCTGAAGAAGATTCTGGCTACAGGGAGCAGCTCTCTGATGGTTGGATACATCCTGGCTGTCTGAAGACTGCTCCAAAGTAACTTCTTTGATAGTTGATAAGTTTGAATTTGAAAAAAATTCATTTTGCTTAGTTGACTGAAAAAGCTCTTCTAACAACATAAGCTGGTGATCTGTGTCTCCATGAGACAATGCTGTGCTCCTTGACGTGTTTGTTTGAAAGTCTGCATCAGAAGTTACCACATTATCTTGCTCTGTGTTGCTGTCACTCAACTTGGTACTTCCATCCTTTGGGATTGAACCTTTCTGCTTTTGTTTAGTGCCAGCTTTTGTCTTCTTTGGCTTGGGATGTGTTTTCTTTGGAGTGTTTCTTACCCTGCTGCTCTCCCTCCCTTTGGTGCAGGTACATCTGCAGGTGCTGGCAGTGCCTCTCCCTGAGGGAGCAGAACAAACACTTTTATAAAACCTGCTCTCATGTCGCTCGAGCTCCCGCACGTGGGAATACACAGGAGTTCCAAACATTTCATAAATCCCTGGGCCTTGGTCATTTGAATTGATTTGCTTGAACATGTCACTGTATTTCAGGTCTCCAAAATCTAAGGCAGATGGTGCATGTGGCAGAGAAAGTGGAGTAACACTTTTCTTTAACTCAACTGAATTTTTGCAACTGCAGGAGAAACTTTGCTTTTTGAGTTTCTGAGCACTCTGAGAAAAATGGCCTTTGTCTCCTTGAGGGTTTTTTTTCTGACACTTCAGGGAAGTCTCAGATTTCACCTGTGGCAGTTCTAAAGAAGGAAAAATCTGACTCTTGACATTATGTTTTGTGGTAATCTCATCAGAAACAATGAGGTCTTTAGACATCTTTAGCTTGTTATTAATTTTAGATTTGGATGAATATTTATTTCTATTAATCTTTCTTCTATTTTTGTCACTTTCTTTGTGAGCGAGAACATTGAAGCTCTGAGTACCCTGAGGAGGCAGGCCATGAACACCACTCTCTTTTGGGGGGGGTTGTTTAGCAACGTGTGGTTCCCTGGCTGGCTCTCGCTCAGAGAATGTAACATGAACAGCAGGTACAAGCTCACTTTGGTCTTCTGGAGTAGCTTCTGACATTTCTTCTTTTTCCTTTTCAGATTCAGAGAGACAGACATGATTTTCTGTTTGTTTTCCAGGGGGATCTTGAACTTCTACTGTGGGAATTGCTGCAACTACAGAATTATCTTCTAAGGCATGGTAGGCCTCTGACACTTCATTTTCACAGGAAGGATCTAAATCATGATTGCCAAGCACAGAGTTTGCACCTTCAGTACCTTCACACGGTGCACAATCCAGCACCATCTCTGCAGCATTTCCTTCTTCTGGGCCAATGCTGCAGCAATTCTCTGCTGCCGTTTGCTCGTTGCCAGCTCTTGAGGCATCGCTGCTGCTCGACATGGTAAATGTTGTCTGAGCTCTGCCACAGCTGACCAGAGCATCACCTGAGCTCAGGTGGGGGTGACCATCACCACAGAGCCTGGCTTGGCTCACAGGATCGGTGTTCTCACAAACCACTGAGCCCTGGAACTTCACCTGCTCATTCCTGTCAGTGTGGGCACCTACATCAGCTTCCCTCCACTCCAAATGGCTTTGAATTCCTTCTTTCTTCTTGTTGGTGTACTTAGAACAGTTCCTCATGCTGAAGCAGTACAGGTCTTCTGCTGGTGTGACTTTATCAGAAATTGTAGCCACAATCAAGTCTGTTGACTTTTCACTGTGCCTTTTGAATAGATTGTCTAACTGATTATGATAAAATTTGGTAACTGATTTTATAGGCTGAGGAATAGAGTTCATAATATTTAAAATATTTCTGATGTTGCTGCTTTCATTGACAATATCATCCTCTAGAGGAGCAAGATGAATTGTTCTTACAGGCTCACATGTCACTGGTGGCAAATGAAACTGTAATTTCCATTTAAAAAAAAATTAATAACGTGCTACAACACAGATACAGGTAAAATGTGATCACTAAGAGTTTTGGGTACACTGGAAAACAGCACAGTCTGCACTTGAGTTCCAGTGAAGGTAAATGGATAAACCCAAAGGCCATTTTCATATGGCTGCTAACACAGAAGTCTGTTAGGTAGGGGATGTGTTCTATTATTCCTCCCTTCTTCCTTCTTTTCCCATCACATTAGTGGAAGGTAACACCTCTCTTTGAAAGGTCTGAGAAATGGAGCACTTTGTTGTGACTGCTCAGATGAACATAATTTTCTGAAAATAGTACTTCTATTCTTTATTTTATAGGAAATGAAATAAAAATAAATTTGAATATACTGTATATTTTCATGCAAATGGATGCAATAGAAATAATCACGCAGTCATCTACTCGGAGTACTTATTTGCATGTCTATATTCCACATCAGTTTGCAATCTGCAGGAAATTTTTGTTTGCATTCCAAGGGCAAACTGAGGTTGGAACATGCCAGGAAAAGCAATGTCTATTGGTTTGAAATGCACAGTTCTGAAGGCTTTGTCTGGCCTGTGGGGCATTAATATGAATGCTCAGTTTATCCCAAATGATATGGCTTTAGAATCATCAGAGCCCAAGGCAAGAAACAAAGCTGTGTTAAATCACACTGGGATCAGCTAAATTATTTTGCTTAAATATTTCCATTCATTTGAAATTTTTTTTTTCCCATAACCCTTTTTATGATCCTGTATCAGATCTCTTATTCCTACTTCTATACTTTTCTTTCCTTTTTTTCCTGTGAATGCTGCTGTATCCTCCAGTGGCTTCACTGAAGTTTACAGCTGATTCAGTGAGTTGAGTCCTTTGTACAAAGGGCTATTGATATATATCCATAAAGGCCAAATTCTCTTTTTTCTAAAAAACCTATATTTGCTTCACACATGTGAGCCTTAAAAGTTACAAAATATCACTGATACATGTACAATTGTGAGCTTGTTTCTAAGTACAACTGTTATGTCCAAAAATCCCATTTACACTTATCACAAAATTTCATTTAAAATATGTTTAATTCTAAGACATTATTTATTATTTGTTAATACAATCAATTTCGGTAATCATCTAAGAGCAAGACTGTTTTAAAATTCAGCTTCAATTTTAAATTACCACTCAATATAAGAAAATTGTTTGGGCTTTTTTTAAATTTGGCAAAACTAGACATCTAACATTTTTAACATACCGGATGTTCATACGTTAAATTAAATTACATATTTCTATTTTAAGAGGTTTTGTATCTTTTTGAACTTTCAACCTTTTACCTCCAAAAATCTCTGATGTAATGTCTTACTGGCAATTTGTTGATATACATCTCAGGATTTCCTGACACACACATATATATATATTAAATAAATGTAAAAATACTTCACATTCTTAAAAAACCCCACCTGAGACTAAGAAAACTACCGACATGACTTCTGTATTTCTATTTTTAAGATTTTGAAAGAATAGAATACTTTTAACAGTGATTATACCTAATACCATCTTACCTTAGATCTCTCATTCCTGGTTTTTAGCATTGTTATATTTAACCCTTAAAAATCAAAACAAATAAAATGTTAATTTGATATTCTTAAACATGCTACAATTCTCATTTATAAATTAATTTCAAATTGTGATGTTCAGGGGACCAACAATCTGTCAGATGGGTGGTCTCAGGACTATGATACAAATCTGAAGTGCAGAAAATGTTGTAGGTTGAAATTTCATTGTGATACTGAACTTCACAATTTCATTTTCTAAGGAAAATGATAAAATATTACACTTCTAAAATATTTTTACAATAATAATGTAAGCAAATCCTTCACAATTTTAGATGTTTGCTAACTACAGTATGCAGCTAATTAATATTGCCAGTATGAGGGAAAAGTGAAAGAGATGCCATCATGATCCCACTCCTGGTACAGAAAGTTAAATTTACATTTTTTGGGCTCAGTTTCGTTATACAGAGTAACAAGAATAGTGAAGTTTGTCATTGCTTCTCTTTAGCTCCTTCACTCTGCAATATATAACATTAAAGAAGTTATCATTAACTTCACACATGGCTGAAGTCTATGTGAAGAAGTCATACAGACATAAAGACAACTTTAAAGTTTAAAGAAAAAGGACTTCTAAGGCTTTGCCATCTCATATGATAACTAATATATAACTTCATATAAAATTTGTAACTTCTAAACTGAACTTACTTTGCTGTGTTTGTGCTTTTATTATCTGAAAAGTATCTAAATCCACAAATGACTTTAAAATGTTGTATTCTGGGCACGAGGTCCGTAGCAGAAAGCTGAAGTCAAAGGCATATCCCATGTTGCCTTTCTTTGGGAAGAAACATAAAGAAGTGGGATGTCTCCTCTGTAATGCAAACAGATTTTTACTTGGAAAACGTGCCACTTGTTGGTCTGACCGTGGTCTGGATGTTGATGCTGTTTGGCTGAAAGGCAAAAACAAAAACCAAAATAAGTGAAAATAAGTGGAAGGAGCAGCTCAAACAATCATATGACTGGAGAATAATGGGAACAAGGAGTTTTTCAAATCCAAAAGTGCCAAAGTATGTTTTCTTTCTTTATCTGGGAAGTTGTGCCTCTCCTTGGAAGCATCTGATTGCAAAGCCAGAGATTGACTACAAGTGAGAATGAATGACAGACAATGTTAACCAAGCAACATCAGGAATTGAAAAACATATTGTTCACCTTCTCCTTCTTGACAAAAACTGATTGCTTCCAGTTTGTATTTTTAATGACTCATCAGGAATGTGTGTCAGAAGAATTCTGAGGCCCAGATGTGCCTTTGTTACTTAAAAAATATGCTCTGGCCTGCCTGAAAGAACAGAGGCTGTGCAGACAAGCCTCAGATTCCTGCCACCTGTTTTCTGAAGAATGAAAAATATGGAGAAAGATAAATACTGTGGCTGAAAAGAGGTACAAAAATACAGCCTAAGTTTATCTTAAAACTGTATGCAATTGTCTGGTTTTAATAAGTCAAATTCTGATGTAAAACCATATCCCATATTTTTCCTATTCTACCAAATAATTTGTTCATCTAATGCAATATCCTGCCTCCAGCAGTGGCCAATAATTGCCATTGGGAAGAGATAAACACCACACAACATATAAAGCTGTATATGATGTCTGGCACTTAAGAAATATTTCCTTACTCACAGACTACTACCTGCTTTGTCTTCATTTGTGCACACTCAACTGCAAATTAAATAGTAATATGACTAACCTGTTCTTTCCTAGAGCTTTGTACGACTGATGCATTTCTTCCATTGTCTTATCTGCATCCTGAAGAGCAGCAACACTTCCACAACCTGCAACAGTACATCAGTATTTGCACAAAAGCAGTTTAATTCACTGACCAGTAACACATTGTAAACATGGTGTTTTTTGGGCATTAAAATATTATTACAAAGAAGTACATGAAGCAGCTATCAGGAAAAAAAACAAGAGTATGTTACATTTGACTAATTTTTTTGAAATGTGAATGCATAACTCTGATTTATTTTTAGTTATTTGGTAAGTGTAGTAACTCAATGGACTATAAAAGCAAAGAACATCTGAAAATAATTCCAGTTACAGCACCTAGATCAGTAGAACAGAAGACAAATATTGACAGAAACTCTGCAGAAGCAGAGTATTTAAAAATATGAAAACCAAACAAATCTCAAGGCTTTACAAAGGTGGAAAGTAACTCTGAGTTTGATTTCATATTTTGCTATGGCTGCTCAGTTTTGACAAACATCCAGATTTTAAGTTATTATTGTACTTTTCCTTCTTCAGATCCCTCATCTTACACTTTATAGACATAAACTTCGGTCAGACTACCTTTTTTGCTTCTCCTCTTGTTTTGTTGGTTGTCAGACATACTGTCCTTAAATGTATTAAGGTCCAGAAACCTGAAAAGAACAGTTTGTTAATTAATTTCCAATTCACATGTACAAAGCAGTAATTTATATTTCATTATTTCAGAGCCATAAGTAAGACAAAAACATTTTGAAAGTACCTGAAATTATTAAAAATCCTATAGTGTAGCATCTGATGCCCTTTCCTGTGAACGCACAGAACCAAACAGTCCAGGGCAGTTTTTTTCTACAGAGCCAGACTATCCAGACTGACTTGACTGAAAACATTAACAAAAATCTCATTGACATCAATAAGGTATAAATGTCATGCTTTATCTCAGACCCGTTATAAATTCATAAATACATGAATGGTGATATATTATCTCTGAATATTTACAAAGGTAAATTTTTTATATGTTTTAAAATTGTGCACATTATAACAAATAACTAGCTTTATATAATTGCTTTTTTGGTTGTAATTGAATTTCTGGGAGCTGTGCCAGGCCTCTGAATGAATTTGATACGGCCAGGAGTCACTACCTGAGATTGTTGGCCTGTTAACTTATTAGTAGCAAACTTTTGTTTTCACTTTAAACTATTGCATTGTCAGAAAGAGTATGTTAACCATGAGTGTACCTTTCTGTGAGCATCTTTATGTATGTTTAGAAAAACATATCACTCAAAATGTACTACGTTTATAAAACCAAAACCCCTTGAAATTTGCATTAAACTAGTGCTAAAAACATTTGTTAGATAATTCCTGGTTGTTGAAAGAGCTGATCTCAGGAGATTAAAACAGCGACTATTTTCTCTTTTCATACGTTTATTTTCAACACCTTATGTTAAGAAGGATAAGTAGCCAACCACTTGTCCAAACTGACAGCAAAGTCGTGGTCTATAAAGCAGGTTGTGTGAAAACCATTTGGTTGCAGTGGAATTTAATACCACAGTTCTGGCAGAAAAGAACTTTCTTGGGAAAACTCAGCTATCCAGTAGCCCTGTTCTTGACTCCAGTGGGACAGAGATTTCACAGCAGTTCAGACCTCAAAGCATGAAACTGTGGAGCAGAATACACAGATCCTTTTCTCGCACTTACCACAGATGTTTATATCACCTTACAAAGCTACCTAAACTCTATAACACAGAAAGAAAGCATGATAATTATCTGAATGTGTAAAGGTTTCCAGTACATTAATTCAGGGGGGAATATTTATTTTTGAGACTTTTTCAGTGTTCCTAACTGTAGTTAATCTAAATGGTGTTTCTTTCAGAAGAAAATGGTATCTTTTGACAAAAAATTAAAGCTGATAGCTGTTGAAAACCACAGAAAAGATCAAAATAGATTAGCCCCCCCTCCCGACACTTTTAATTGGAAATGTCCCCAATTGTGATTGTAAGTTTTAATGTTGTTTTACATGGCTGTTGGCCCCCTGTGCTGTATCATTGCTAAGGCACTACTGAATTCCCACAGAGAGAACAAAGTGCTCCTTAATATTGGTCTTTCCAGACAAATATACTTTCATTAGGCTTTACCCTTAATTAGAAGATTGTAATGTACCTTCCCCACAACTAATGAGTGAATGTGCTGTGAGCTGGTTCATGATTATGGAAACACCAACCTTCATTTCCAAGATTAAACTCCAAGACTAAACAGACCATAAGGTGATAGTGGCATAAAACAACACAGAACAATCTCAAAGTGCAGACTCTTAAAGAAGAAACATGACAGAGTTAAGTAGAAGGATTTGAAGTTTTGAAATTCTAGACAGCTAATTCTTGAAATAAAATTAATCTCAGTTAATAGTTTTGATGGATTTGGGACTGTTTCTAAAAAACATACTGAACTTCAGTTTCTCAAGTGACAAGAACATCTGAGGTAATTAAAGACTGGATTGAAATGAATAAAAGAAAATACAATCATGAATATTAGTTCATATCTGTATTAAAATGTTTACAAACGTTTTTACTGCTTAATATATAATTATAGTAAAAAACAGATAAGATATTGTACATGAAATAAATAATATTGTCAGATATATAATATATCTGAATGTACATGAATTAATATATATTTAAACATTTATGAATAACAGTGTCAAATTATTACATTGGGTACCTCTGGGTGCTAGAAAGTAATTAAGTTCTTTAATGTGCATGGCAGGCTAAAAGAAAGGTATTTTAAAGTTATGTTGATATTTATTGAATCCATAAGTAGAACTAAAAAAATAGGACACCTAGTGGCTCCTATGTTGCTAATTTCTTTATAAAATTATATTTTCTCTCTGCTCTTTTCCTTAAGTTAGTGATGGAAAGTAACAATCTTTGTACCTGTCTCTTCATTTCAAAGTCACTACAGAGGTCACTGGAAATGAAGGGCCTACGTGGATTTTGTTGGATAGTAGCATATTGCCACTCAATATTGCTAGTCAGGGAAAGAATTAGGCTTTTGTTACTGATTCTAAAAGCAAAAAAAATATAATTACTTGGAAACACGTAGCAGCCTTCCCAACAGACTAGTGCATTTTACTAGATTAAATTAGTTTTTTACAATAATTTTATATGACATCTGAGAAATGTGTGCTATTTTATAACTATATACAGCCAGACATCAGACAGTACTATCATTCTTGGTTTACAGAAGAGGAAACAAAGAAAAATGGAATGACCTATAGCTACCTTTGACTCACATATGATCAAGATCATCCAATGAACTGTGCAAAAGTAGTTTAGAAGAACTCTTGATTTCTCATTCCCATGGATAATCCATCAAAAGGTTCATCCCATTATATTAGTCAAGTAAGAGTTAGATGGTGAACTTCTCCAAACTCTGCACTTCTTTTTGGATACACAAAACCCACTTCAAAATAATAACTGAGGAGGTTCTGTAAAAAGGCACAAACAAATCTTACCTGGTGCTTCAGTAGCGAAGAGCAAAAGCGGCACAGCAACCTAAGGAGAAGTTATAAAGCATTTTCAGCTCACAGCCGCCTTCCTTTGCTGGCCGGCGAGGAATTCAACAGCGATTACACACTTTTGGATTCGATTTTCGGCGTCTTTTTCTGACTGTGGAGCTCACGAGCTCTTCTTTCTGCAGGCAGCTCCTGCGACACGAGGCTGTTGAGTTTACACGATGTTGCCGAGGTAACCCCTCCGGGGGGTATTTTACTTGGAGGAGTTTAATTCAAAGAGCAGCAGTGACCTATGAAAACAAACACGGTCGAGCTAAACGGTGTCGCCGTTCAAGCTCTAATCACAGGGCAACTCTCCCAGCGCGCAAAACAAAACCCCACTCCTCCCTTCTGTTTGTCTTTTTTTTAAATATTTTTAATACCTTATCTGTTTCTACATCATTTTAAGTTCGCATTCAGTCCCCTCACCTCGACGCTCCCCGTTACTCTTGAGTATTTTTCATCTCGTTTTTGGCAGCCGTAAACAGAAGATTTTAAGGATATTTCTTCTTCTTCTTCTTTTTTTTTTTTTTTTTTTTTTAAGTAGCAGACTGTTTAGAGGGAAGAAAGGATAAAAAAGGTACGGTGGGGCTCAGGCTGAGCTGAAAGGGTGTTTAAGAGAGATGGTTTGCTGGATGCCAGAAGCACTTGGCCGCCGTCCCCCGGGACACGGCTGCGGGGAGGCACAAGCGAGGGGGAGGCTTTGGACCAGGCGGCAGCAGGGACACGAGCCCAGGGGACACCAGCCCCCGGCCGGCCGACCAGGGCTGTGTTATTGGTACACCGGCGGGTACCCGGCACACCCGGCTGCCCCTGACGGAACCGGAGGGTCTGTGGGAGCAACCCCCGCCGCGGTGAGGCGACCACGGACATCCCCTGACAGCGCCCATGAGGGGCTGAGCCAGCCAGGAAGGGGGGACGCGGGGAGGGGAGCCCGGGGCATGGGGAGGTAGGAGCAGGGCTGTGAGGGAGCCCCGGCGGGAAGAGCTGTGAGGGGGAGCCAGGCTGTGCGGGAGCCCGGGCTGGACGGGCTGTGAGGAGCACCCAGGCTGTGAAGGAGGCCGGGCTGGGCAGGCTGTGAGGGGGAGCTGGGATGAGCTGTGAGGGGGAGCCGCCCTCCGCCGCTTTCCCGGCAGCCTCCGCGCCCGCGGCGGCCCGGCCGCGTCGCAAGATGGCGGCGGACAGTGAAGTGAGTGTTTATCCTGCTCCTCCCCCTCCTGTCTCCCCCTCTCTGCCTCCCCCCCTCTCACCGGTCTCTCTCTCTGGTTTCCCCTCTCACCGCCTCTCCTACTCTCTCCCCGCAGCCCGAGTCGGAGGTGTTTGAAATCACGGACTTCACCACTGCCTCCGAGTGGGAGAGGTAGGTGCCGCCGCGCCCCTCGCTCACCGCGGGGGTGACGCGGGGGCGACGCGGGGGCTCCGCCGTGCCCGGCCCGGCCGCTCCCGCCGAGAGGAGCCGGGACCCCCCGGCACGGCCGCTCCCGGCACCTGGGAGCACCCGGCGGCTCCCGGAGCTGTGCCACGTCCGGCTCAGGCCGCGCCCGAGGGTGGTGAAGACGCTCCAGTCGAGCTGTTTCTGAGCTAAGTGAAAGGCCCAGTTTAACATCTGTTTGTAAGGGATTAAAATATACATTCAGAAGGCTTATACCTTTTTTAAGTAGCTACCTGATTATTAAAATAGTCATGTGATAGCTGAATCCTTTAAAAGTTAGCAGAACGATGTACAAATCTAAGGTGAATAATGCTCTTGCATTCTTAATGTTTTATTTTTTTTAAACGCTTTTAATGTTTATGGTAAGAGATGGAGATATTAAGTGTAGCGTATAATTGTCTCAAATGTTTATTTATCTGTGAGCAGTGAAACAAGACCATATGTTAAATGTTATGTGCTGCAATACCAGAAAAAAACCCCAGTGAGATTCTTTATAAACACTCAAAAGATGGTCATAGCAGTTGCTAAGAGTAACTATAATCTGAAATGTAAGCGTAGGAGGTCTGTTTTATTTGTACAAGGAAGCAATTGTTCTGGTTTTATTGTTTTACTTCTTGTTGTGGGGTTTTTTTGTTGTTTGTTTGTTCTTTGGGGTTTTTTAAGGAGTTCCATAGTAGGACAACAAATTGCTTGCTTTTGAGCAGATGAATTATAATACAAGTTCAGCGTTCAGTAAATATTAATGCCTTTTCCCCTCCCTAATAGATTTATTTCAAAAGTTGAAGAAGTATTGAATGACTGGAAACTTATTGGGGTTTCTTCAGGCAAACCTCTAGAAAAGGTCAGTTACGGCTTTTGAGTTTTCTTTTAGAATTTGAATTGCTAATGAGTCATTCACACGAACGTTTCATCTACTGCGTTTTCTTAGATAATGATTTTTATTAGGGAATGTCTCTTGTAAAAGTGCCAATTTGACAAACAGTTGCCATAAATTTACTGATGGGCCGTCTGCCAAGCAGGCTGTTTGTTGATAAAGCTGAATCTTCATATAGGACTTAGTGATTTATTTTTTTTTATTTTCAATTTGAATCTGGAAAAATGATTGAAGCTGCTATAAATTCTTAAGGAATCTTTTCCCCCCGCCTTGTGCCTTTGTCACACCTCATGTACTTATGACTGAGTTTTGCACAGTGCTACGGGTGACTCAGAATGTTTCATAGATTGGAGAGATTTTTTTTCAGGGTCTAATTAGAGCCTTTGTGGTGCTTTCTCAGTCCTGTAAAATGCAGAGGAAATTGCTAAGCTCTTCTGCACCACCCGTGCAAACAAATTCAGCTGTTCCGGACGGAATGGCTGCTGTGTTTCCAGAGGAATTCAATAATTCTTGATTTTAGCCAGGGTACAGAGCATTCAGAGTAAAAACTTATGTTATCTAATGAACTAATTTTACACCTCAGTTGTCTGTGTATTCCTACATGTCTTGCTTGCTAGACCAGACCTCTCCTAATACCCTTTACAGATCAGAGGGTTGTCCAAGTTGCTTTGTTTTAGCAGCAGCACAGAATTTTGTACAGTTATGCTGATTTTCTTAGAATCTCCTATGCTGTATTTATGTTTAAAAATGAATTATCCTTACAGAATTTTTGCAAATTAAAGATTAAAAAAATAATTTGTTAGTGGAAGTATATTCAAAGTAAATATTAAGGCAATATTTGCACAGATTGGTTTAGGTGTAGTCCCAGGTGGGAAACTTCTATCCCTGGCAAAACTGAGGGTGCATATGCTTAAGATGCATAGTAACATATGAGAATATATTTTTTCCCCTTTATTGCCATATAAATCTGAAGATTTCTCAGGGAGATATCTGATCCTTGGAATGAACATGATTATCAACAACATGGATTTTAGCATTCAACTACCTTTATAATGAAGTGCTTTGAGCATCGTTTTTTTGAAATTAAATCATGCTTAGCTATTTATGAATAAATATTTGGCAGTAGAGAAACATGAATAAACATTATTGATCACGTAGGTAATATACTAATGAACGTTAACCTAAATTTATTGACAAAATAGTATATTTTTTGTATGCAGGGTATATACACCACAGGGACATGGGAAGAGAAATCAGATGAAATTTCATTTGCGGACTTCAAATTCTCAGTTACCCATCATTATCTTGTACAAGAACCCAGTGACAAAGATGGGAAAGAAGAGCTGGCAGAAGGTACCTGCTAGTTCCCTCACGTACCTGTAAGGATATGACAAAAGGCAGTGTCAGAATGTGGAATTCACAGTGTGTTGATTTGCTTCTGTGTGAGATTTTGTGAGATCTGATGGGTGCGATCTAACATTTCTGCTTTTAGTATGCTTTGCATTCACACAGTGCTAATCTAAGCAATTTGCAAGTGAGCTGGATGGATGCTGATGATCTTATATATGTTTTTTTTTTTTTCACAGATGCCCTTCCCCTGCCAATGCAGGACTTGCTGTGCATGAACAATGACTTCCCCCCTCGAGCTCACTGCCTGGTGAGATGGTACGTACCCTGCCTCTTGTCTCTAATGCAAACCAGCACAGCAATTGAGAAATCTCTGATGCTGGCACAAGCACTTGTGTATTTGTTTTTCAACTGAAAGTTAAAGCTTAAGGAAAATAATTCTTCATACTGGACACAGAAAAGGAGTGCAAAAAAAGGCCTATCTTTACTTTTGTTTTTTGTCCCCAAAGACTTTTATCTCAGTTTCATATATCAACCAAGTTTTTGTATATGTGATATTTAGGTACATTCTTAAAAAGGAAACCTGCAGCACCTTAAGAAACAGCAACTATGTTCTTAGTAATGCAAATCTTTAGCACATTATAACATTGTTCTAGAGAGATTGTTTTTGTGTATAAACAGTTTCAGTTGTTATTATTATAAAGTAAAGAGCCTCAGGACTGATAGACCTGGAAGTCCTCACAATCAAACACTTTACAGGGTTTGAATGTTGTTGAGCTCAGGTGGTTTGTGATTTCGGACTGTGCAGCACTCCCTGCCCACTCAGTTCTCGACCTCTCTGACAGAGGTACTCACATCAAATCAGATTCCACAGTCTGTTGGTGGCAGTTAGGTTATTCAGGTCACAGTGTTTCTAAAAATTCTGTTTCAGCTGGCTTGCTAAAGACCAGAAATGTGCTCTTTTTTTGTCTTTCTCAAGGTATGGCTTACGGGAGTTTGTGGTGATTGCTCCTGCTGCAAATAATGAGGCCGTTGTGAGTGAATCCAAGTGTAACCTTTTGCTGAGTTCCATTTCCATTGCACTGGGGAACACTGGCTGGTAGGTGAAAGCATTTCTTACCTTTTTACATGTCCAGGTAAAACTGTAGCATGCTGCATTTGTGAGGAAAAAGCATTAACTTGTTAGCAAAATGCATTCAGAGTTTGTTGGGTTTGCATTTTGATACTGTTAGAGAAAGATTAAAAAATTTTCCATGGAGATTTAAAAAAAATTGATTCAATGTGTTGTTTATATTCATTTTTGTTTAAAAACCTTAAATGCTTTCAAAAGCTGCTAGAAGTTGTTGGAAAAATAACATATAGAAAATATAGAAACAATAGAAAATATAATATAGAAACAGTAGAAAATATAACTTATGGAGGAGAATTTCATCCTGATGTGCGATAACAGTAACTTCCTAATCTTCCTCAAAAATTATTTAGACTGAAAATTAGGTAACTGAAGTCATGGATATGGCTGTGACTGTGACATGACAATTTGTTAGGCATTCTCTTTGATGATGACATTCATAGCATTTTTCTTTGATTCCTTGTCAAGTGTTTTAAAGTGCATTCCACTAAGAGAAAATATATTCCAAGGAATATGAAATGACGTTGAAATTATGCTAGAATATTTAGCTAGTTTTAAAGACTACAAGACAGCATGACACCTTAAATAATCTGAAATATTCACATTTTGCAGTCAGGTACCACTGTTCGTGCAGATACACCAGAAATGGCGCCGGATGTATGTTGGGGAATGTCAGGGCCCGGGGGTCCGGACTGACTTCGAAATGGTCCATCTGCGCAAGGTGCCCAGCCAGTACACTCACTTATCAGGGCTGCTGGAGATCTTCAAAACCAAGATTGTAAGTGCAGCTGAATGTATAAAACTGAGATTAGGAATAATTATTTTATTACCTGGATGCTTGTAGATTCACCAGTATCTGACCATAAAGAGTGACGGTGTGCGTTTGGTTCCTGGGTGTTACCACCTTCCACATTTAATTTTCACTGGGATGTGAAATAATGTGTCTGTTTTACAGTTTCCTTGTAACAACCCTCTTCCCCATGGCCCAAACAAACTTTATTTTGTTATTGGAAAGGAGAAGGGAGGGTTGGGTGGATTTTTATTCTGATACTTTGTAGCTCCCCAAGCTGAGAGGGAAGAACACCACTGTAGGATGTGAGGAGACTGAGAGGGCTGCTCATTTACAAAGTGGTATGGCTGCCTGCAGCACTACACAACCAGTATTGGTAGTAAGCAATCTGAGCAAAACACTGAGGAGAAAAATCCTTAATGAAAACCTGATGCATTCTGAGTCAGAGTTACTTGAATTACCAGCTAAATGGAGCATCCAAATGTCTCATGCATTTTATCTGTGATTGTCGTGTTTAGCAATGGCTTTACCAGTAATCACAGAATCATTACGGTTGGAAAGGAACTCCAGGTTCATCAAGTCCAACCTTCAAATACTTGGGGTGTCGCAGTTCTGCTAAAATTAGCTCTAATACAAGCTATTGTGACTTATTTATGTCCAAACCCTGGAGTGTTTGAGAGGATATACTCTTTCTATTGAATTTCTTCTCTGGTATTTTGAAGGGGTGCCCTCTAACACCACTGCCTCCCGTTAGCATGGCTATCCGGCTCACCTACGTGCTCCAGGACTGGCAGCAGTACTTCTGGCCTCAGCAGCCACCAGGTAGGAGATCCCTGTCCTCAGAATAACGTGTTTTAAGACAGTCAGTGCTCTTGGTGTATCTTGCCGGAAGGATGAAAACATTTTCTGGGTGAGTAGGAAAGGCTACAGTTTCAACTGAGTCCAATCCCACTCCCTGTGCTGGGCTCGCAGGCTTAAAGCTCCTCTGAAATCATGTCTGTGCCTCATGGTTGGGACAGGTGTTTTGGATAGGGCTGTGCCTAGAAACACGGGGTTTTGTTAGCATTTAGAGATGCAATGATACTTCTAAAGTTGTAGTATATATGTGAAGTGAAAAAGCTGACTGAATCTGTGGAGAACTCTGCCCTGAATTCCTTAGGGAAATGTTTAGATTCAGGTTCTAGTAGGTGCTAATACTTCATGGGAGTATTTGTCAATTATTTCTATAAAGTACCTTATTTTAATACCTCACTATCTATATTAACAATGGGAAAAGCAGAAAGTGTTACCTCACATGAGGTAAAAGTTTGGATTTTTGTTGTTATTGTTTACAGAGTGTTGAATAAGCCCCAAGCAGTTGGTTTATGTACTTTTTTTATTGCATGAACAATTTCTGATCAAGTCTTTTATTGTAGTAGTCTTGTATGAGTGGAAAAGGGGAAAAGTAATATATAGTCTTGAATTTAAAGTACATGCACCAGACTTTATTAGTTTATGCCATAGCCATGCTGTTTAGGAAAAACAGAGGTAGTTGCTCACTTGATACTCCCAAAGTGATCTCTCATATTGTTGCTTGATAGTGACACTGTCTTCCTTGGGTATCAAGGATTTGTTTTTAACAGACCTATTTCTATATAGGTAGCATCAAAAAAAAAATAATAAACTTCTCCTGGCTCGGAGGTAAACAAACCTATAGGAAGAAGGTAAATGTTAGTTCCTCCTTAACATAAATTTTATTAGTGATGTGGTGTTGTATGTAGGTGCAAGGTGGTGGAGCAGTTAAAATGCCCAAGTTCTTTTCTTGACTTGGTAGTGGTTTGACATAACAAGGTTAAAGTATTTAGGGCAGCATTTAGAGAGAGGGAACTCTGTGTGGCCTTGGTCTGCTTATTTAATTGTTTGACTTTCCTTTGCTTAAAAAGAAAATACACTGATGAAAGGTATGTTTTGAAGAAGTCTGTAGTGAGGTTGATTCTGTGTGCTTTGTAGCTAAGGGATGTATGTTGGACATACGTTTAAGGAGAGTCCTGCTCTTTAGGGAGAGAAAATCGGTGCTGTTTTAAATTATAGTTTCCCTCTTTCAGTAAACCAAGGTTACCTAAAGAGCTTGGGAAGTGAATTATACAGCTTTTATTCTTTTATTGTTTCTGCAGACACAGGAATCTGTTCTCTGTGGTCTCTCTCTGCCTTGCTGTAGTGACTCACTGAGTCAGGATCCCTGGTTTGTGATGGATGAGTTGTACTACTTTGATCATATTTCTAGATTTGAGCAGTTGGAATAACTTCTCCTTTAGAGGCTTCTGGTTAAGAGAGCCAGTGTCGAAGTGTGTTGCAGAGACTGGAGACAAACAATATAATTTTTATTGCTTTTGCTATGTGCAGTTGTGGTTTTATGGTCACTGTGAAGAACTAGACCTGTAACTTGCTACTATCACTCAATTAGCTCTTCTCAAATAAAAGGAATTTAAATGTGTCTTTTATATTCTCTGAAGAAGAAATTATGTAATTAAGTGATCCAAATACTTTATCTGTTCTAATACCTCACTTGTTTTGTATATGAACAGTTTTCCAGATGCGTTTAAAATGACAGATCAGATGCTGTAATAGCATTATTATAATGGCATTACAGTGCATTATTATCCATTCAAATTTCTGTTCAGTGAAGGCTGTCTGGTTTTGATTTATGTATTTGAAGAATATAACATGGGAAGTGTCTGAGGATGTTGGGAGGCATCTTTAAGTACATGGGATTACAAGGAATCTCCCAGGTAATTTGATTAAGTCCTTAGCTGTAGGAGACATAATCGTCTTTTCACAAAATTGTCAACATTTTAAAACTAGTTGTTTTTTCACTCTGCGAGTTGCTCTTCTGGAGTCTTCTTTTTCTGCTTGGAGCTGATTTGCTGCCCAAATATTTTTATGGCACTTCTGTGTCTGACCGTTCTTGTGTCAACATTGAATCTTTAAGTCTGTCTTTACAGCTCTCATCTTTGCCTGTGTGAAGGGAATAGCCTTCCCTCAACATAAATTACAAGAATTTTATCTGTCTTTTTGAATGTCCTGTTGCATGATTACTTCCCAGTTTCTGTTGGAAGCAATTACTTTGTGTGCTAGGATTGTGTTTTCAGTGCTCAGTCACCCTGGTTGCTCAGCTGTTCTCTGGTCATCTACATGCTACAGTCTTTACTGTGAAATTAAGATGATATGTTGCTTCAAATGTTCTAAAAATTCCACATTGAAAATGTATTGACTTTTCTTCAGATATAGATGCCCTAGTTGGAGGAGAAGTTGGAGGCCTTGAATTTGGGAAGTTGCCATTTGGTGCCTGTGAGGATCCTATTAGGTAAGCAAGAGTTCAGAAAACCGTTTTATAACTTCCTTAATGGAGGCCTTATAGGTACATTATTTCAAATTTTAGCTTTGCCCACCTACCACTTAGGATGTCCCTAACAGATATTTAGTTATTCCAGTACATTAAGAACATGGTTTAATAGCAAATGAGACCATTTGCAAAATTGCCTGATGATATTCAGAGCTGAAGCTCTGCTCAAATCAAGTATTGCACCATAAACTTCTGGAGTACTCTATTTATCTCTGAAATTATTGTGTTGAAATATAACTTAACTGAAGATAAATCTCAAAAATCATGTGCCTTTGTTCAAGGGTTGGACCTGCTCTCATCCATGACATTTGTAGAAGACTTAAATTGAGCAGGTCTGCAAACTGAGTTGTTCCAATGTGTCCCCTTCTGAACACCCCATCACCCTCAGCAAATCCAGGAGTTATTTGGATGTATTAGACAGTGCTCAGAGCTGTAGGCAGTTCAGGGAAGTCTACCAGCCCTGAAAGACTGAAATCTTGCTTTGTTTCAGTGAACTCCATTTAGCTACTACCTGGCCCCACCTGGCAGAGGGCATAATTGTGGACAATGATGTGTATTCGTAAGTATTTTGTCTGAATTGCAAATATCTAGAAGTGTACTTATTTTAACTACTGCATTTTAGTGACATCTAAAACCCTGTGTGTGGCTTTATGTGTGAAAAAGAACCCCTTTTGAGGAGTGGTAAGGTCAGCTGATGGAACATCTCATTTGGGAAAACACCTTCTTTTTAAATGCATTGCTGTGTGAGAAAATATTATTGTATTGTAATCTCAACAGAACACACACCTCTCTTTTTGAGCATATTCTCGTGTTAGACTTGAAAATTATTTCTTGGAAAAGATAATAATGGAGTGTGGAAAGCAAAAAGAATTCACTGATTGACATCCCTCTCCCAAAAACTGTCATCCAGGTTTTATGCTAGAGAGAAATAAACCATGTTGGGTTTCTTCCTTCTTTCTTAATTAATGCAGAAATGAGATTTCAACATTAATACACTTCAAAAGAAGACAATTTAGTTCTAACTGAATTTTTCTTGTGTGTCATGTACCTACATGAGAACAGGGACTCTTGCTTGCATTTCAGAGTGTTTGTCATGTTCTTCTGTGTAATGTGGTGCATATTGTGACTTCCATGGCCTCACTGGCTATGGCAATACATTTACTGAGAATTTGTTACTCATCTTTTGCAAACTTATGGTGACAACATGGCCCTTAGTTTGTTTTGTTTTGTTTTTAAGTGACCTGGATCCTATGCAAGCCCCGCAATGGTCTGTGAGAGTCAGAAAAGCAGATAACCCTCAGTGTCTACTGGGTAAGACATCAGAATTTCCTGTCTTCCCTTAGGGCTTTTAAACTACTGAGTTGTGAAGTCAGGGTTGAATTGATGACTACCTGATGACCTCTGTTTCCTCATTCCCCTTATTTTTTTGAGTGGACAATATTTGGGGCTTCTTTTTCAAGAACACAAGCTTCGCAAAAACATGAGTTTCTGTTGTAGGTTACTCTGTGTCTGTGTACCATGAACTTCACTGCTGTTCTTATTTCATCACGTTCCAGAGAACAAGAATTTTCTCTGTGTGTTCTGTGAAAATTTAGATTTCCTAGAATCTTTCAATTTTATTAAGTGCCTTCTGCATATATCCATCTGCTTAGCTTGATCAATCTGTTTGACAGGGAGGATTAGTACATCTGAAGAGCTGTACTCTCCTGTCTGTCCTTGCCTTTCAGCTTGTGGGGAAAAGGGCTTCAAAACTTTCAAAGTATCATCTTGCTTTGGGTGAAGAAGTGGATTCAACTGCAGGCAGAGCTGTGCTCTGGAGAGGTGGCTGATGCCTGCCTAGGTGTGCATTTTCCTAAGCTTTAATTATGATGTGGTTTAAAGATATTTGTGCTTCAGAACAAATTATCATGTTCTTTCAGATGAAAAGATAAAAATTACTGTCCTTTGGGCGTAATTTTGAGAGTTGCCTTATTGTTCAGTGAGATTTTTAACTGAGTAGTAATTGAGAGACTTTGTTTCTCTGCCAGGTGACTTCCTTACGGAATTCTTCAAGCTTTGCCGTCGGAAGGAGTCGACTGATGAGATCCTTGGGAGGTCTGCATTTGAAGAGGAAGGAAAAGGTAAAACTAAAATCCTGTTGATTTGTGTTACTTGTTTTTAATTGTTTCCTGTTATTTTACCTTCCCTGTACATTTTCTTGACTTAAGATTGATTGCTATTTATACTTAAAACTCTTATGCATTTTCTGTAATACTGGGGATTTTCTGGCCAGTGCTATATGGTGACATTTCTCATGAATTCTAGGCAAACTTAGCTCCCAAAGTCCCAGAGGACAATTACCTCTGTTATAGTTGTGTATGTGTCTTTTCACTGGAATACAAAAGCTTAAAATTTGACTGGAAGTGTACAAGAGTTGGGTTTGAGCACACATCAAATGCATTTGTCTGTATTATGTCTTTTTGTTTTTTCCACTTTTTTTTTTCCTTTTTGATGTACTCTGTAGTACATGTTTAACAGCAAGTTTAAAAAACCTTTAATCTGTTTGAAAGGCTTTGCCATCATCCTCTCCATTTTAAGGAATTTTTAGGAAAAAAACCCAACAAAATAAAAAAACTCCCAAATTGTCTGAGCAGCAGGTCAAACTTTATCCCAGATATATGGATACTGACATCTTTTTGACGTCTCTGTCCCTTTCTTTTGCTTTTCTTGCTGTATGTAGTGAACGTTCCCTTCCTTCCTGCTGCTTGTCACCTTTGCTTCCCTCCAAATATGGCTTATAATGTATTTTCTTTGGTTCTACTTGATCTTGATCTTAATTTTGAAGGAGCTCACCAGTCAGCTTAAAAAGGTGTTAGACTGAGTAAGGGGCTTTACATAATCTTTTTAGCTCTTCTTAGCTCAATTTTCTTGCAAGGTTTGCCAAGATGAGCATTTTCAGGCTGCTGGTAATTATTCTCTTCAATTTATCTGCCGTCTCTCTAACAATATTGATTCGGTTTGTTGTAAGAGGCATTCTAAATGTAAGAGACATTCTCACCAGCAGCAACTCTGGAAAAAAATCTTCTGATTTGAGAAGTTTATCTGAGGATTCTAAAACAGAATTATGCTTACACCACGTAAGGTCAGGTATATAGTGATTAATACAGGATTTATTAAGGCTTATCTAAAGCTTTAGCGTAGGCTTGAGCTGCCTTTGTTACCTACAGTGTATTCATTGGTATCATATGTGAGCAAGGTTTAAACATGGACTCTTCAGCAGCCTTTTGTGATGCTCTGATAGGGACTGTCTGCAGACAGCTCAGTCTAGACTTTAGTTGGTAAATTAAATCCAGGGCAGTCTGTGCCTCTTTGTGACTTGCTCTGCTGTTTATATTTGCTGACAGTGAGTATCAGGATGGAACCTGACAGCATAGAGTGTACCTCTGGTTAACAAGGGGCTAAAAATCAGTGCAAGATAAAAAGGCTGGATAAGACAGGTGAACTTTTAAAGAGAGATGGTCAAGTGTTTGTGGGTTTTGTTTTGTTCTAATTGCTTTAATTTTATTTCATAGAGGTTGCTGACATTACCCATGCCTTGTCCAAGCTCACAGAGCCAGCACCAGTCCCAATCCATAAATTATCAGTCACAAATATGGTTCACAGTGCAAAGAAAAAAATCCGCAAGCACAGAGGTGTGGATGAGTCGCCTTTAAACAATGATGTGCTGAACACCATTCTTCTGGTAAGTGACTCTTCATGCATGTAAAATTCAGGTAGAACATGCACTGATGCATTTGCTTTATAGTCCATAGCAGATTTAAAGGTGTCTGATATCAGTTCCATTACTTCAGTTGCAATTATCAGCTTGAAACAGCCCGAGTTGTTACAAGTCTGTGCAATATAAGTGGACCGAAAACAAACTCTCAACTCTGCCAACAGTTTTAGTTGTAGGGATTGCTGGTATGTAGCCAGCAGTACCTTTAGGGAGAAAGTGGGAAAAGCAGGAAAGCCATACTGATGGAAGGTTAATTTTTTTTTTCTTTAAGTTCTTGTTTCCTGATGCTGCTGACAAACTTGCAGATGGATTTGAAAGCAGAGCCAACACTTCAGCAGGAAACAATCCTCCTCCAGAGAATGAAGATTACGTAAGTTTTACTGACTGACAGTCAGGAGAGAGAAAGCAGTTTTGAGTGTGTGTGTTCATACAGGCTTTGCTGTGGTTGCCCTACATCTTGTAATAGGTAACCTTTGGAAAGAGGAACTTATCTTTGTGGAATCTCTAAGTAAAAGTAGTGATCATTTCTTTTTCCTTGTAATTTCTTTTTTTTCCAAAGACTGTAATTTTTGTTATCTTATACTTACAGGCTTAAAATGTGGTTAGCCACTTGTACTGCTAAAGGGATTACATAGTTTGGGAAAAAATGCCATTTTTCCTGTATTTCTTGCTTTCTTTTGTTTCTTGCCTAGAATCTCTTCAGTCAGTTTAAATCTGCTCCCTCTGACAGTCTGACCTACAAATTAGCTTTGTGTCTTTGTATGATAAACTTCTACCATGGAGGAGTAAAAGGGGTGGCACATCTTTGGCAAGAGTTTGTGTTGGAAATGCGCTACAGATGGGAGAACAACTACCTCATTCCAGGGTAAGATTTGCTTTTATTGTCATTCCTTTGCCATAGAAAATGTTCTTTGTTCCAGGAAGAGAGTCCACTGTGAATTTGAAACATACTGGTTTGGGTTTTTTAATTGCAAATCCTATCCTTTATTTTTATTACCCTACTTCCTTAGTGCAAGAAAGGGCAGGGAGTAGAAAAGCATCTGTGCCCTCCTTTGAAAACTTCAACATGTCTGTGGAAGCTCAGCTTAGAGATCCCAGCTTAGAGATCCCTCCACTGTGTGAATGAGGGTGGGTAAAAAAACTTGAAGGAATGCTTGGCTCCCAGTTCATCTATCATAGAAACATGAAGAAGCTGATACAGGGAGAAGCACCTTTGCTTTGTGGTGTAGTTTCAACCACTTTTCTGAGAAAGCTGTTCCAAGTTCCTGCCTTTTCAGGTATTCCAACCCTTCCAGCCTTTGTCTGCTGCAGCAGAGCTTGTTGCAGACCTAATGAAGGGCTCTGTGAAGATGAGGTATCAATGCAGAGCAATAATATATCCTACTTTTGGGGTTGTGGTTTCTTGGTTTCTTGTGGTTGGTTTGTTTGGGTTTTTTTGTTAATGGGGTGAACTGGCCATTTATTCACTGATTTGTACTTTGAAATGGTTACACTACCAGATAAAATAGAATTAAAATACATAGCAATCACTCCAACTTATTGCAGTTTTAAAGCAAGTCAAAGATACTTAATTTCTGTTTGTAAACAGTTACCCTTTTAACTTCCAAATGGAAAACTGGCCAGGAAATGCAGGGTATCTCTTTCATACTAGTGTGTATGACCTCTGAGCTTCTGAAATGACCTCTAGGAAATAAATATAGTTTAAATTCTGGACTTGTCTACTGAGACTGTAGAAGAGCTGTGTAGTTGAAATGGTGGGGGTGGGTTTAATGTGGGTATTTGCCCCTCTTTTAGATTTCATATGATTTAAGACCACATGTGTGAAAGATTCAACTTTATAATTGATAATGGTTACACTTCTACCTTTTGTTAGATTAGCTAATGGCTCTCCAGATCTGAGATGTTGTTTACTGCATCAGAAACTCCAGGTAAATATCCCAAATTTAAGAATGATTTTTCTCCTAAGGAAACTGTCAAAATTAAAGAAGTTATTAGCTAAATATATTGTTGTTGTAGATTTAGTTATGCTTATATTTTTGGGTGTGGAATTCATTTGTTGGGAAAAATCTTTGTTATAGCAACAAGTTCAATGGAGTTGTTATCTTATAGAATTATGTTTTCAGGGATTCTCCAAGTTTTTCTGTATGACTGTTTCTGTAAGAGAAGTAATTACTAAACAATTATTTTTTTGTTCCTTTAACTTGTTAGATGTTAAATTGTTGCATTGAAAGGAAGAAAGCAAGAGATGAGGGGAAAAGGGGGAGCGTGTCTGATCGTTCACCTGGGGCTTCTGGTGATGGTGCAAAAGGAGCAGAACACTCTGCAGATAACCCTGATAAGGAAAAGGAATTTGGCAAGTCTTGGGAATCATGGAGTGACAGTGAAGATGAATTTTTTGAATGTCTAAGTGACACAGAAGACCTCAAAGGAAATGGACAGGAAAATGGAAAGAAAGGAGGAGCAAAAGAAGGCAACAAAGAGCCTGTGAACCTAAAACCAGAAGGTCGTCTGCATCCCCACGGGAAGCTGATGCTGCTGCATCCTGGAGAGCCTCTCTACGTTCCCATAACACAGGTCAGGGAGAAGAGCTGAGCCAGATGTGCAGCACAGCTCTCACACAACAGGGCTTCTGCCTGGGATTGGTAAACTGGGTATATTTGCAGGTTACAGCCTTATTATCTGTTGTTTAAATCCTGAGTGTTTTTCATTTTTAAAACTCGATGAGGCCGTTAAGCTGAAATCTCACGTGCTCCTTGTTTTATTTGAGAGTGAGTCTCCTCACCAAATTTCACTCCAAACATGTTTTTTAAATAAGAATTAAGCTGTCTTGCTTACCTTAAATTTGGTTTTTTTAATTACTAGTTCCTGAGGCATCTTCCATCCCCTCCTTACTTTCTTTCCTGCCACCATGGAGATTTCTAGCTGACTGAGCAGAATAAAGATTTTTGCTGCCATGTTTTTTCTTTTCTTCTTTAATTTCTCTGCTCATATCTAAAAGACCAGAGTCATCAGTTTTGGTGCCGTTCTCTACAGCAGGTTTATCAGCGAACAACTAGAAATGTTCCCTGACATCCCCAGGCTTTCCTGCAGGGTGGCTGGGGATGAAATAGGCAGCAGTGGTGCCACAGAAAGTAGTTTGCAACCAGCCATGCATGAAGAGTACAGTGTTTTTCTTTCTCTTGAGAGAAATTACTTTTAATTAATATTGCTTTGCTTGGGTAAAACATGAGCAGAGTGTAGTCAGGCAAACTGTTCTCAATTAATTATGTGGTGACACTGTCTAAAGCAAAAATTCTGTGTTGCTTTTAGGTCGGTTTTAATCCATCTCAACAAAATAGTGCCAGTCAAACACTTGCTGGAGTTCATTTGGATTTTGGTGTTTTAACAATATATCCTTATATCATTCCTTCATTCTCAGGTTATTTTCTGTTTAGGTTCTCTTTGTTAGTGTCATATTCACATGCACAGCTTGGCTGAACAGTTTAAACAGTAGAAAGTTCTGATTATTTCCCTTGTACAAATGAAGCAGAATGGACTTCTGGTGGTAGGGAGCTTTTTCCTTCTCCTTCCTTGCGAAGGGCTGAGCTGAGGAGAGGCTGTTTGTAACCCTGTCTTTTTCCATGTTGCAGGAACCAGCACCCATGACTGAGGATTTGCTGGAGGAGCAGTCTGAGGTGCTGGCAAAGCTGGGAACCTCAGCAGAAGGCGCTCACCTCCGGGCACGGATGCAGAGCGCCTGTCTGCTCTCAGACATGGAGTCTTTTAAGGTACTGCTGCTTGGAGAATTCTGTGAGACTGCTTTCCTCTTAATTAAACTGTCCCTCTTGCTTGTGTTGAACAATTTGGAAGGGTTTCCTGACAAGTTTCATTTTTTTTCTCCACTTAACAGTTTCAAAATAATTTCAAGTTGAAAATAAAACCCTACTGCTAAAACTCTTTGAACACATCAAAATCTGTGACAATGTAACGTCCCAGTAAATTTGCACAATGTCTGTGAGAAGGGAAAAACCACAGAAGACATACAGTTGATAAATTGGGAATTAAAGCAGTTGTTCATCAGATTGGGACTGGACTAGCTGTGGTTTTGGGCAATTTGTCCCATTTCTTGTCTGAGCTCTGCAGGGGGAGCTAAGAGCACATACACTGCTGTCATCAGAGGAGCTGAAAGCTAAAAGGATTAGAGATTCTGTAATGAAGTAGCTATAAATGTATTTTAATTATTGCAATGTTCATAATAAAAGCATACAGATGTACTGTAGAGTATGTATAACATATCAACATCAGTTATTAGCAGTGAGTCATGGAATATTAGGTATATGTAGAAGTTTTATTTCTGTGGTCCAAATGATCCGAAAACTCAAAAATATAGAACCATAATTTGAAGCACAAGTGCACTCTTGATAGGTACATTGAATAGTGAACTGAGTTTCCCTTTATGTTCTGGATATGGATGTATTTATTAGTGTTGACATTGCATCTATGAAAAATGAAGTTATTTTTGTTTGGGGCAGATTTTTTTTTTATTTCCTTTGTAAAAGATGAGGAAGAGGTGAATTTTGTCACTGGAGTGTTAAAAGCTGGAAAGTCAGTGCTGAAAGCATATTTATGCAGCCCAGTGATTTTTTTCGGCTTGGGCTGTTTTCCTCCAGGTCTTTAATGGGATAAGCTTATACATAAAGGAATTTGTAAAAATTCCTGTTTATTGCATGTATCAGGTACTAGGTGGAAGTTTAACTGAACAGTGTAATTTTTGAGCTGATGAATGTCCATTTTGTGGGTGATAAGAAAGGGTTTTTTTGTTGTTGATGATGTGGGTTTTACCCCTTGCCATTGTCTTGGTTAATGCTTTATTCCCTCACCCTCCCAGGTCTCTGTCCTACTGTACAGTGTGGTGCCTGTGGACAGAATTCCCTGAGTGTTGTCTCCTCTGCTGTGGTCTACCCACTAAACCACATCGTGTTTCCTGCCCAGGCTATCGTTGTTACAGGATTTTCAGGAACGAATTTTCTCTGCTCTCCTCCCTCAGGCAGCGAATCCTGGCTGTTGCCTGGAGGACTTTGTGAGGTGGTACTCCCCTCGGGATTACATCGAAGAGGAGGTGGTGGATGAGAAGGGGAATAAAATCATCAAGGGTGAGCTGAGCGCCCGGATGAAGATTCCCAGCAACATGTGGGTGGAGGCCTGGGAGACGGCAAAGCCCATCCCTGCACGGAGGCAGAAGAGACTCTTCGATGACACCAGGGAGGCAGAGAAGGTGAGAGCTCAGTGCTGGTGACATCTGACCTGTAATGCTACAGGTAATGCCCTTCCTCCTTCCTCCTGCAACATTGAAACACGGACTGGTCCTTGCACTATGGCCTTGGAGTTACTGAACTGCTCTGTGCATGGCTGAGGGTTAGTTGGAAATTCCTGCTGCCCTACAACAGCGTGTGTAAAGTAATGAGTGTGTGAAACATGACTCCACAGACTGTTACTGAGGTGGTACTTTGAATTATTAGTAAATAAACTAGATTTTTACCTGCATGTATGTGTTAGGAACACTTCAGTTTTCTAACACATAATTATTTTAGTTTCATTCTAACCTGTTGGGACTGGATTCATGTAAAACTACCTACCAAGTCCTGTCTTAGAGAAGTATTCTCTTCTTTCCTCTTTCCTAGCTAAGCTTATCTTTGGGAAGTAGTTTTGATCACTAATATATTAAGTTTTCTAATATTGTAGGTGCTTCATTACCTTGCAGTTCAGAAACCAGCTGACCTTGCAAGGCACCTCCTGCCTTGCATCATCCATGCAGCTGTACTCAAGGTAAAGGATGAAGGTAAATAATGTTTAATAAATTAAGATATTTTGGGGTGAGCAGTGATGCAATAATTACAATTTTCGTTCTTTCCTTCTAACAGAAGCACTAGAAGATATCTCTTCAGTCAAGAAGATAATCAAGCAGATAATATCTCATTCCAGCAAAGTACTACGGTTCCCCAATCCAGAGGACAAGAAGTTGGAAGTAAGGCTTTTGTACTGGCTGGGGCTGAAAACCTGATAGACTTTTGCACTGTTCATGGGAGTGCTGAAACCCCATGTTTTTAATTTTCACTTTTATCTAACTCTTGCAGGAGATCATCGCTCAGATTATGAGTGTGGAAGCGATCATTGCCAGGGCAAGGTCTCTGAAAGCAAAATTTGGGGTAGAGAAATGTGAAAATGAGGAGGAGAAAGAAGATCTACAAAGGTGACTGATGACGTTCTTTTGTTTTTCCTCTGATGCCCTTTTTTTGTACTTTCAAAATTTAGGACAGATGGATACAGAAATACTAAGGAATCATATTTAAGTGTCCCTGTCCTGAGACTATGGATGTTGTGTAGATACCCTAAATGCTCCTCTAAATGAGCAGCTCTTTGAAAACATGTGATACAGGTTATTTTACTGGAGTTTGGTTCTATCTTGATAGTACTGGGGATTTCATCTGCTTTTTGTGTATGTAAAAGGTGTATTTGATGAATTCTGTCACAACAGAGGTAAAAGTAGGACTAGAAATTTTAGTATTTTCTGTAAATGTTATGGAATGAAATACTCCCCTCCAAAGTTATATTTTCTTGTTCTTGTCTCCTTACTGATGTGAAACCAGTCACTAAGGAGCTGTGACTGGGAAGTGACGAGGCAGTTTCCTTGCATCACTGCCTGCTGGCAGATTGTTTACTCAGTGCTCAAGATGACTCATAAGTCATGTTGAAAAAATCCACATTAGCTTGTTGCTGCTGTGCTGGGAGGAAGAGATGATGTTTTTGTAGGACGTGTTGGGGGTTCAGGGGTGTGATGTGTGACCGAAGCATTATCTTTGTGCTTAAAAATATCCATCACATGGTGTGTGGCCAACACCATGAAGGCTTTTTGTGTTGAATTAACACCTCTGCATTAGGAGCCTGAGTTCCATTCTTAGATAACTGAGAGGAGATTTTTTCCTCAGACTTTCAGAATGGAGAACTGAGAGTAGCTGCCAGTTCTCACCCTGTGCAAATGATGCTCAGTGGAGGCCTCCTGCCAGGAAACAGCTCTGGGGTTTGGATTAGCAAACAGGATACAGCCGCGGATTAAACATTCCCTTTTCCTTTGCAATGATTTGTTCCACCAGATTTGTAAACTGTCTCCTGGAGCAGCCCGAGGTGTCAGTTGTGGGTGCAGGAAGAGGACCTGCTGGCAGCATCATTCACAAGCTGTTTGTGAATGCTCAGAGGGTAAGGGGGAGCTCTGGGTTGCTTTGCAGACACTTGTGATTTAAGCAGAATGAAGCAATGACTTATCATATGATGCCAGTGTATTTTGTCTGCATACGTGCATGTGTTGTCATAAATGTGCTTGAGGTGGTTTTTGTGATGTTCAACATGATTTTGGCAATAACAGAACCTTGCAAGACAAAGGAAGAGTCAGTGATCTGGGATGTTAAACAACTGAAGCCAGCTGGGTAGACAGAGGTGTCATTAATGGCTGATGTACTTCAAATGGTAACCAGTAATGCGGTTATGGCACAGATTTCTGTCTCAGCAAGAACAATCAAGTGTTGATTGTTTCACATAGGAATGTAGAGAAACAGGTCAAAATATTAAATATTTTAGAAGGAGTAACTTTTTAGAATGGGGATACTTGGAATACACTTGGAATACTCGAGACTTCTTCTGTGGAAAGTGGCATGTTGAGGAAGTGTCAGCTCTTTTTCAGTAGGACTCTACATTTAGTTACTTATTGCCAGTGTTGCATCTGTTTTCTGGAGCCCCTTCCCTTGCTGATATTGATGCAAATATTGTCTTTTTATCTGAAGCAGTGTTTGTAGTAATAAGCCTTAAAGTATTGATTTCCAAACCTCATGGACTGCAGTCACCCTTCAGTTTCTGTCAGAATTACACCTGCTCATAGCATCAAGTTTTCTAACTAAAATTTAACTACAGTGGTAATAGCAAGGCAGCACAGTATTGCAGACAATTTAGAGCCTGAAATTCCATTTGGGAGTAATTGCTGGGAAAACATTGTGATTGGGTGTTAAACACTTCTAAGGTATGGATGATTTTGTATGAAACTGTATTTTGCAACACAGCATAAAAAGGACCATTCTGAAAACAGACCGTGGTTAGTGTGAGGGATGAAAACCAGAGCATTTATTTTATCCTTCCAGTCTCTAGGGAAGATCTAGTTTGAAATCTCAGCGTGCCAACCAGCCTGACTTACAGCCCCTCCTGCAAAGCCCAAGGCTGTGCCCTGTCAGTGCCTGCACATGTGTGCACTTGCCTCTGACACTGAGGCAGGGTTTTCAAAGCCGAGTAGGTTTCAAGGTTAATGTTTGATAAAGATGTGTGCACATTTCTAGGGATTTGTTTCTTTTGAAACACCAGTAACTAAAGCAGGGTTACAGATACTTCCCCCAGTAGCTGGTCACTGTTAATTAGGATGTCTTAGGGCGACAGGAGCCAACTTGCGACAAACCCCCCTTTGTATTTGATCTCCCATGAGTTATTTGGGTAGAGAGCTGTTTGGTAAATAGAAGTTGAATGAATTCATTGTTCATTACCTTTTGATCCTGGACTCCTCTCTGAGTTGTGTTTAATGTGTTATGTTCTCAGATTTTCTCAGGAAAATTCTGATAGCCAGTGCATGCTCTTGGAAGTAGAGTGCATGATGTCTCTTAAACCTACAGTCTCCTAACCTCTTGTAAGTCATCTCTGACTTGCCTTTGTTTCTGTCTTTCATCACTGGTTCTTTTCTCATCCCTTTCCAAGCTGACTGAATCTTCTGATGAGGTAACCAACTTTGTCCCTCCTTTCCCACTCATCTTCCCAAGCTGCATAGAGTTGAACCGTCTGGTAGAGATAGTACAGCAGCTAGATTTAGTTTGTACTGTTGTTCACGTATTAAGCATAAAAATAACTTTGTGTTTCCAGAATGGTTTTTCTGCATTCACAGACTTTATTTCTAGGGCATAATAACAGGTAGTGAAAAGAGAGTGAAATCTTCAATTATAAAAAACCAAACCAAACCAAAAAACCCCCCCAAATCAACAACAACAAAAAACCCGAAAAAACCAAAACAACCAAAACCCCTCCCCAAACAAACAAACAAACAAACCAAACAAAAAACACTTCTTCAAGTGAATATTGATGTTTTCTGATGCTGAAATATGTGGCCATTCTTTATATTCTCTGTTGCCATCACTATTTGTTTGTTGAGCAGACATGTTTTGGGGGAGGGACAGTCCCTGGATTTTTCATTCTTGATACCAGGACTTACTGAAACTATGGAACTTTTTGGACAGTGATATTTGGGGAAGAACTGGGGTAATTCCATAAAGTGTAGCACAGGGAGCATCGTCTGGTTTGCTAGAGCTGTTTTTGTGGGAAAAAGTGGTGCTTGTTCATGGTGAATTCGTGGCACAAACTGCAGAGGCAAGTGGTGCCAGGCTCCCCCAGCTCCTGGGAGTGAGTGTGGGACAGGGTGGGGAGCAGAGGGGCGGCTCAGAGGGACTGTGAGGGTCATCCAGAGGGTTCTGCCACACCTCAGTGACAGTGCCAAGCTGGAGCTGTACCTGCTGAAATTGGGCAGGACCCTGTTGGGGTACTGGTGGGGGTGTGTGTATCCAGAGGTATATGTGATTAGGGAATGTTTACTGGGCAGGCCAGCCCTTGTTCCAGTGTCCAGGGTCAGTGTTGCTGTTCACTGCCTGAGGCAATGAGCACCGTCGGAGGTGGGTGTAGATCCTCCCTTGCTCTGCATTGCACTCCCAGCATGAACAGCACCCACCACAGCCGTGTGTGTCTGAAGAGGCAGGTGACTGTCAGGACTGCAGTAGTGGCATGGATGATTTTGGAGAGGAGGCTGGCCTGGCCTCCACAGGCAGCTGAGGAGAGAGCCCTGCCCGAGGAGGGGCCGTTTCCACTGCTCACAACCCTCACTCACACTGCCAGGACATCAGGAGCTTAATTCGGGCTGAGCTTCACCACCCACACGTGCAGGTTCTTCCATCTGGTTACGTGCGCTTTGTTTCTCGGCATCCCATTAGCGCCCCGCTCTGCGTGCACATAAAGCCTCCTGACGTGTTGCCATTTCTGATCTTCCTCTGCCTCTCTTCAGAAATACTTTGTGAGTCCCGTTAGGCAGCAGCCGTGCCTGTCACTGTGCCTGTGCTCTTTCCCAAGGTTTCGGCGGTGCCGCCGCTGGAGGAGGAGCTGCGGCGCTCGGGCTGTGCGGAGGAGCGCAGGCAGGGGGTGCAGTCGGAGTTCCCTCCGCCCACGGGCCGGGAGGTGATCCTGCGCTCGGCCGTGCCCCGGCCCGCGCCCTACTCCAAGGCGCTGCCGCAGCGCATGTACAGCGTCCTCACCAGGGAGGATTTCCGCCTGGCGGGGGCCTTCTCCGCCGACACCACCTTCTTCTAAGCCACCGGCCCCGACCATCTTCCGTGTCCTCACAGCAGCGCGGGGCTCACGTCCCGCGGGGAGGGGAGGAATGCTGCAGATGGACCGGCTGTGCTGAGGAGACACCGCGTGCACCATTCCCAAGGACTGGGGTTGGCAGCCTTGAGGGATGTCCGCAGCAACTCACCTTGGAGGTTTGGAACGGCTTCACAAGTAGTTTCAGTCAGATCTTCGGGAAAGAAAACGTAGCAACCTCCTTTCTGCCCAAAGGGAGAATCTTTTCTGTTCTTTGCATTAGCTTGGTTAATTATGGACGTGAATGGGCTGTGTGCAAATATTAATGTTGAAATTCCTACAGAATGTGCTGCTCCACATTTCTGGATCAAACTTCATCAAGTGACATTAGTCTAACTAAATTGATATAGAAACATAAGTAATTTATATTTATTGCTAATCATAATTACAGAGCCCAGTATGTTTTGGTTAATCACTAAATTTCAAGTACTTCTAAAATATCCTTATTTTTATTTAAAGTATACAGTACACTCTAGTTCATGCCAAGCCCTCCTGGCATTGCAGTCATTGTCCAAAAAGATCTTGTCCCTTCTCCCAAATAGAAATAATGACATTTGGGGCTAGAACTGGACAGTGAGACTGAGAGCTGGCACTGATGGTTTGGGGTACTTTATCCCCTTCCCTGGTGCAAGGGCCAAAGCTGTGTGAAATGACAGCTGCAGAGGTGTTTCACTGTGAGCAACTTGCTGGTATTTCCAGAGGCTGTTTGCCTGCCCCGTGTCTTTGCTGTGAGGATGGAACATTCTGTCACCTGCTGGCCCCTCACCCCACTGGTACCATCAGACACCGACGTGTTCGTGCCAATGTTGCTTCACAGTGACCTTCATGTGTTTTATGAGAATCAGCAAAAAATCAGCACCACCTTACACAATGAAATGTACAAACAGCTACAGTATTGTGGACATTACTCAATAAATACAAATTTATTATTGGCTCTCAGTGTTCCCATGCTTTTCCATTCCCTCCTTGCATGATCTGACCCAGGAAGGACATTGTTTATGACTGTGACTACATGATGTGTAGAGAGTTGAGTTCTGCTGACAGTAGGGTCCCAGGTGTTGCCCTAAAGCTCCTTGGAGGGGACAGGGGTCAGATTGTTTTCTTCAGATAAAGCTCTAGCAAGTAGAAGTGCATTTTTTAGGATGAAGAAGAGTTAATTTTCTTCAGGGAAAGTGTTGTCATGGAATTTGTTCTCTAGATTGTTTCTGTGAGAGAAATTCCTCTGGCCAAGGGGTAAGTAAGATAAAGACCAATGTAGCTGCTGTTTAAATGTGTAGCTTCTTTAAAAGAAAGTGCACTGGGCTAATTACTGATTAAGTAAATTTTAACTTAAGCGTCTTCCCTGATACTCTTGGTTTCCTCCTCTCTAATGAAATTTTACACTGCAGTGTGGGCTCTTGTAAAGGCTATATAAACTTAAAAAATCCCTCACACTTAGTTCCCAGGCTATTCTTACTTGGTCCTTTAAACTGCTGGAGAGATGATTCCTTTATTATACTCAGGCACCACAAACATCATCCAACATTTTTTTCAGGCTGTTACCCAAAGGTGTCTTTATTACCTGAAAGCATCTTTGCTGGAAATGTCCAGTGAGTTTGGCTGTACAGAAAATGGTGCAGTTATGCAACTACCTTGTCTTAAACATTCTTTTTCTCAGTAAAAGATTTATAACTTCTAAGAATTTTTCTGAGCAGGATAACTTTACAGCTTATTTTAACTAGATGTAGTTGAAATTTCAGCCACGTCCTTTCTGGAGATGTGCTTTATGAGCTTACAACCGCCTTACAGCATTCAAGGGATGAGGAGAGACAGAGAAAAAAATCACCAGGAAAAAGAACTGTATTTATTTAAAGTAATTGTAAAGAAAGCCAGGTAAGCAGTCCAGAATAATCAGCAATCTTGTTAAGGAAAATGTGACTGTGGCATTTCCCAGAAACTACCTTTGATGACATAATTGGTAACATCTAGTGTTCCGTATCATAAATAAAATTTTAATACAAGCTGGTTTAAGTAAAACCAGAATTCAACCGACATCAGTTCTAAATGCCAAAGTCCTGTAAGTCAGGCTCAGTGCACTAAGGTTACATGCAGAAATTTAGCTTTAAACCACAGGGTCATAAAAACATGACCATAATCAAGTACCTTGGATGCCCTCTGACCCTCAGTGTGACAAACGATTCCTTGGTTTTAATTCCGTATTTTCTCCTCTCTACCAGCAGCATTGATGGGCTACTGAGATTCCTGTTAAATCAGTGCATGAGGAAAATGATATAACTGTACTGGATTCAGTGTTACATTATACCTGAAGGGATTTTGCATTTTACATTTTCACAAAAAATTTGGTGATGTCACAGCCGTACTTTGTAGCCAAAGACCTTCTCTTCAGTTGGCTTCTTTCCTTGGCCTGCTTGGCAGTTCTCTGCAAAAGAGAGAGACAGGTCTGTTCAGTGAGTGTTGAGACTTGGCACCTCTGCCCAGGGAAAGCATTAGGCCACAGTTGAGCTCCAGTCTGATTTTGCAGTACACAGCATAATAAAATGCAGATGTTTATTAAGGTGGCATTTTCCCAAATCCTGAGAAAAATGTCATAACAGTTTAATGCTGCATTTCCACCTTTGCTGTGTGGGAGGGAGAGGCTGAGGGCACGGGGGTTCTGCAGGGCTGAGGAGGAGCCTGACTTCAGGCTCCTGCTGCTGGTTCCAGGGGAGAGGGCCAGGATTCCTGGCCCCAGCACACTGACCTCCCTGTGGCAGGCTGTGCACAGAGTCTGGAGGTTGTCCAGGGAGCACTGTCCTCCTCCGCTGTACACGGGCTGGATGTGATCCACCTGCCAGAACTGCCCCTCCGTGGGGCTCCGGATCATCTCGTTCAGCTGCAGCAAACACAGGACAGGGCACAGGATGTGTGAGACAACTCCTGAGCTACATGTGCATGCTACCATCAGAACAAGGACATTCAGGGGAGTAGCTATTAATAGTTCTCATCAGCATAAACAAAGCCAGCCTTAGCATTTTTTAGTTACTCCCCCCGGACAAGCAAAGAAGTGTAAGCAGTTGGCATGTTTTCACCCAGCCTGAACTGTACAACCAGCTCTGGTATTTACCTTCACCCCTACAGAGTCAGAGCTTTGATGCCTGTGCCTTTTAGAGATGAAAAATCTGTTAAAAGACAGTGGGATAGAAGAATCAAGAAGTCAAAGGCATTTAGTTTGATTGTTTTTAAGGACTTGTTTTTCTTGTTCTGTTGTTGATGCTGGCTTAACTTTCTATCTTAAATCTGTAAGAACATCTTTGGGTTTCTCTGAACTGTCTGTAGCCAGATCAGCTGTTACTGCACACAATTACCTGCCCCAGTGGGAGGTGGGACATCCAGGAGCTCTCCAGCAGTTCCTTGCGCCGACTCCTGGGGGCGTCTCTGACGCTGAGATAAAGCTCCTGCGCGTTTTGGTGACAGAACTGGCAAACCCCGTGTTCCACTTCAAACACTTTGGTCCTGAGGTAGCTCTGGCTGGAGCGGATGGAGAAATCCTCCTGGCAGGCGTGGGAGCAGAACCGCGTGTCCCAGGCGTGGCTGCCGGGCGGGAGCTGTGCCGTGGGCTGCTGACAGCTCAGGCACAGCGGGGTCCCCTGGCTGTCCAGGGCCTGCAAATACCCTTTGGGCAGGGGGGAGCCTTCACCCTGTTCAGAATGAAGGGCTAAGGGACCTCCTCCAGTGTCTGAAAGCAACCTGTTGGCAGAGAACAAAGCCCAGCTGTTGATAAAGGAGGGATTCAGCCCCACAGTTCAGTGGGGTTTTATGCACTGTGTCTCTCCACTACATATCTTCTGTGCTCTGAAATAGCAATTTTAGCTGAAATAATACCTTGCTCAGACTGACACCTGCACACTGCAAACCCTCCACTTGGTTTACATCTCCACTTAGACAACATTTGACAATATAACAAGGCAGATTTTTCTTCTGCATATCTCACTACATTTACACATGTACACTGAATTATTAGCTGATATTATGCTGTATTCATAAAGAAAGGGTGGGTTTTATCAGGCATATACACATATAAAGGTAAAATGTTTCAGCCCCCTCTTTAACAGAAGTAAACAGAAGTAAAAAAGTCAAAGGAAACATCCTGGTTTCTCTTTACAATCTCCATGGATGCCTATTGATTTCCTGCTCCAAATAAAGCAGGATATACACTGCTTGTTAAATAACATTTTTAAAAAGGGTAATTTCTGTCTAGAATTTTTATATTCTTTTCTCTTTTTCTAAATTTTGAGGCCAAATAGAAGAAAATTTGGTGTGCCCAATTTGCTGTTGACCTCACAAGGAGGCTGAGCTAACATTTTTTTTCTTTAACTGAATCATTGTTCTGTTTTAATCAGCCTCAGTTAATTAGCAGCTATGTCTGCAGACATCAGATATAATCTAAATTGTTATAATAACAAAGCACAGCTTATTAGCACTACAGCAAGTTTCTCATGTAACTACCGCACTTCAGCAAGGCAGACACTCAGCAAATAATTTTACTACCTTAAAAAGAAAAACCTGTGGAAAAAGAGCTTAATCACTTTATTGCATTAATAAACCTACTTTGTGGATTGTTCAACAGGAGCATTTTCTTTCTTGGGACAAACCCCACTGTCCCTGGAGATGAGGCGGACGCTGCCCCCGGTGCTGGCGGCTTTGGAGAGCGAGGCTGCTGCCACATCCTCCCTGGTCACATACCTGGGAATGACAAACACTGTCACAAAGGGAACCATCTCCCTCAAAGAGTGTTCACTCTTGGCTGCTGCAAGATTGGTACAGCATATTCTCTTGAAACATTCCTCATTTTCTGGAGGAAAAATGAATAAAGTTTGGGAGAACGTACTTCACCGTACTTCTGAATTAAATGAAATATCTTTTCCTAAACCCGAATTCTAACCAGCAAACAGCTAACTTGTTTTGTGTGTAACAATTAAAAGTGACAGCAATTTGATATTGTCATTTAAAAATGACAGGCACTTTGTTCCAGTTAGGTGAAGTCTCAGTGACACTCTGGATAATCCCAGGATCTTTACAAGCTCTGGAGGACTCTTTGCTCTGTTAGCTATGTTTGAACTCACTCCTTCATTTCCAAGTAAAACCACACAAAACACAACTGCTCTTAAGTAAAACCTTTTAAATCACTTCACTCTGATCATTGTTCCAGAAACCACTACACAGAAAACTCCTCCTGAGTCCATCTCTGTACTACACGTGTGCCAGGCCCTACACACACCTCAGAAGGGTGCTGTAGGTCCTGGTAGGTTTTCTAACACCCTTCACAGATTTTTCCTACGTTTTATAGAAGGAGACAATCAAGAGGTTAAGAAACACTTGGACAATTTAATGAACTTCCTGCAGCAATTAGTTAGTGGAATTAAAACTAAACCCCACATACCTTTTTGTGCTGCTGCCAACAGACTGCTTTTTAGACAACTCCTCTGCAGCATGAATAGGACTGTAAAATATCTGACCACTTTTTCTGACAATCTTCTGCTTCATTGCTGTCAGCTGAGTCCATTCTTTCACAAACCTCAGGATCTGGCAGAGAACATGATTGTCAGCAGCATGACAGGCATTACACAGAAGTAATTCCACTGAAGAGTGCTGGGATTAATGTGTTCAACACTGGCTGAAAACAGCTGGCATAGTCAGAGAGGGTCCCTGCAAGTCATTCTTCATACAAACTGCAACTCACTCCCTCACCTGCTGAAACAGTCAAAGGGCAACAGTTTGAGCAGTTTGAGCAATTTAACCTGCCCTTCATCTCAAATTGACAGAAATCTCAAATTGACACCACCACAGGATCCTGAGGAAAAACTGATGAACTGCTTAACAAAGTATTTCAGAATGGAAATAGAGACTGGAGCATGATATTGGTCCCCTTTCCTTGTTCTGCATTTAGAATTTGAAAGTATAATAAAATAAAGGGGCTCAGAGGAACTTCATTTCTGGTACCGAATCAAATAGTTTTCTTACAGGCTGGGAAACCACAAAAAGCCCCCAAACCTTTGAAGCTGTAAACTGGCAGGACTGACATGATTGATTAATGGATTTCCTCAATAACCATAATCACAGAACAGTGAGGGACTGAGGGGAAAACTGCCCTACACAGGAATTTAGAATTTCTAACATGGCTGTTTGCTTTAGGGTGCGTGTAGAGGAAAAATGATTAATCCCATTCTCATTTCTACAACAGAAAATAAATGGAAGTAACAATATGACAAGTGAACAAGTGATTTGGTAGGTTTTTTTCCCTTTCCATTTTTCCACTCTGTTCCCCACTGAGGTGCAACTGCCTACCACAGTCAAGGTCAGGCTGTTTGTGAACACAACTATGGAAAGAATAAATACATTGGGCAGTATGGACTTAGTTGTGACTCCAGCTACATCCAGGAACAAACTTCCATATTTCAAGATGACAATGATTTTTTTTTTTCTCCTTGGAGTATTTTTCCATGGCAAATATAAAAGTGCACAGAAGACTCTCAGTTCCTCAGAGCTGGAGCAGCAACAAAGAAGTCAATGGAACAGCAGGACACCATGGAAACAGAAACAAGAAAGTATTTCCTTGATTCTTTTTAGGAACATTTAGTAATATGGATCTTCTAATCTAGAGCAGAAGGCTGAGGGACAGGAAGATCCATAAGTGCCACCCACTGCCTCTGGAATTCTTACCCCATGTTTTCAGTCTAACAAATGGCTTTGAAATCCCTTGGCAACATTTGTGTATCCCACTCATTTGCTGCCTCACAGAACAGCTGGTTTAATCAGCCACGTGTCCCTTTGACAAATTTAAGTTCCAACCTTGTTGGAGAACCTACAAAAAGAATCTGTTCGTTCCTACACAACAGAATCTGATTTTCCAAACAGGAAACTAAGTGAAGCAGATAATATTTCACATCCAGTTTCAATCTGGATTTCCTTCCTTGAGTACTGGGGTTTGCAGTGTTACTGTTCTCCTCAAACCCCATTGTCAATGGGATCTTTAGTCTGGATTTAACTGAATGTGTCAGTGGAGCTGGGCCTGACACTGCTTTGGGAATTGTTCTAGACCAAAGGAAGGGTGAGAGTGGAGCCTGCTCAGAACTGCATCCCTGGGACAATCTAGAACATTCTTGTTCCTAGTGTACTCCATTCAGAACCTTTATAAAGCTGTTTTGTTGACTTATGATTGCTGGTTACTAATCCTGTAAAGGAGAAATTAGATTCCCTGGTTGATTCCCTCTATGACATGTGAACAGGAGGCAGGATAATTTGCCAGAGTACCAGACTGCATAATTAATATTCACATCAGCATCCCTAAGATCTGCTTGCTGGGATGAAACTGTGCCTTGATCCCAAGGCCTGGAAGCATTCTGCATTTATTTTTTAAGAAGTCAGTCAAATTCCTCTGTATTAAATATGATATTGCTGTGCCAATGGAACTTGTTCTTACCAGTGCACGATTTTTTCTATGCTGGAAAGTCTCTGGTAAATCTTCCCAGTTATCCAGCTGAATGTCCAATGGAATGAAATTATGATTCAGGGGCTCCCCATCCTAGACAAGCAAACAGTTTTGTTTACAGATGCAATGTAGCACAATCTAGGAGAAAAATAATCTGTTTCAAGTGAATTATCCTCCCTTCCTACTAAATTTAGTGCCTCAAGGTCAAAACAAACACTAAGGCACAGAGCTAATGCAAGAAAAATGATGCACATCAACATACCTAAAAGTAAAAGGGCTGAAAAATTTAATTTTTAATATATCTGACTTTTTTCTTTGCAAACAGTTCAGACACACAAATTGCCTTACACTAAGAAACTGAAATTACAATCCTCTTGACTGAATTTCTAAGGGAAATGAATGATTGTAGACTGAAAATGTCACTTCATTACAATTCAAAATCAGGATTTTCAGGCATTGTTTATTATGTTTAACTTTTTTTTTAATGTCTGAAAAAGTCCTCCACTTAATTTTTAAAGCAACAAGTTGTTATCAGCCTAATAAAAATGTGTTTTCTCAGAGCCTTGCCCTCAGTTATCTGGGCTGCTTTGCAGTTGCACCTGAACAAACTGACTCACTCTGTAACTTGAAGAAATCTTCCCAGTGAACTTTACTATCACAAAATAGAAGGAATTGGAAAGTCCTGACTCTCCTTTGAATAATGACCTGGAAAATTCCTGACTGCTGGTTTCTGTGTTCCCATCACCACTGCAAATTAATGAGAATGTGCTTAGTTACTGACTTAGAGCACCAATGCTGAGCTTTCTGAAAATGTGGTGACAATATTTTATTTACTTGGTCTGTCAGAGTTCACTGTAGTTTTTATTTTAATCTTGAATGGTATTCTATTAAAATTATTTTGTGATAAGACACTAATAATAAAACAGGAAACTTAAACAACTATCAGTGGCATTTCTAAGAATGATCTAATGTATTAGCCCAATTTTGTAAGACAAGTGTTAGAAGTTATGTAGCTAGGGAATTATTACTTAATTAATAGTAATAATTACTTAATTCCATTCAGAAAAAGAACTGGAATGATAAACTACCTCATTTTTGTACATTTCAGCTATTGCAAAAATATTGATCTTTTTACATCAAATGTAACAAATGAAAGTATACAGACACATTTCAGTGGACAGCATTTCACTTTGTAATTTTAAAATGACAATAAACATGCACATTGCAGGTTTACCTTTGTATACAGGTGGATTCTATCAGTATTCCTACTTGCACAAAACATAAGGCCATCATATATTTGCAATGTGTCTGATTTATCTTCATCCCCTGTAAAGACAAAAAAATGTTGACATTAAAAAGTTTTTTCTTCATTTCATTCATTTTACTCAGACACTAAAAATAATATTACACATGTACCTAATTCCAGAACAACAGAAGATGCACAGCTCAATCTGCAAGGAATTAAGGTATCTGTGCATTTTGTTTTTCTGTTTCTCCTGGATTCCCTATCATCTGTTCTGCCTGTGCTGTCCAGAGCACAAGGAAATGCCCTCAGTTCCAATAAAACTACCCAGATTCAGAGTTGATAGTTTGGCACAGTTCTTAAGCAGCCAGAGCTGGATTTGTATGGACAGGCTGGGTTCATCCACCATCAAAATTCAATAAATGTCCCAGGCTACACCAAGACAGTCCCGTGGCAGTGTCTGTCCTTCTGTCTGTGTTTCAGAGGTGTAAGTTTTATTTAAAAGCTGTTTTTGATGCCACAGGCATTTAATTCAGTTTCACAGCAGGACATAACCATTCTTTCACAGGAACCCCACTTTACCTTCTCCACACTTTTTTTCACTTTCTCCATTCTCCATTTCCCCCAAACCTTCTCTCCCATCCTCAGCACTGCACTCTGCTCTCTCCTCGCTTCTCCTGGGGCTCTCTGACACATCTTCCTCAGTTTGGCTCGTGGGAGCTTCACAGATTCTCTCAACTAAAGATGAAGAAACCAGAAAAGTGAGGATTTATGTTGCCTGTACAGGTACCTCATCAACACCCCTCTGGAGACAGGATCATGTCACTGAAATACAAAGAAATGGCATTTTATTCTCTAATATTACTGTGGTGCAACCACTCAAAAACTGGAGATAACTTTAGTACTAAAGAAGTAAACACACGGAACAAAGCTTTTCATTTCTCAATCTCACACCCCCAACTTAATGTCAAAATGCATATACTAAATAATCCAAATAGCAATTCTATATTATATACAGCCACTGTATGCCACAAGCACACAAAGCAGTTCTCCAGGCATTGATTTATACCTGGGAAATTCAGAAGTTGTCCTTACTTGAACAAGCACAAAGATTTAAATGTAACAAATAAAAAATAAGTAAAAAGAACCTTACTCCTTCATTTACAACTGAAATGACAAATATGGGCATGGACTTATAAAAATGTTCCACCAATTTTCCAGACAGCTTGAAAAAAATTTAGTACAAGTAATCTACTGTGAGCTGTTGGAGAATGAAAAGCCATATTTTGCAGATAATGTCTCTCATGACAAATATACAGTAATAAAGTTAATAAAACACTGATACCACGTTGCTTAGTTTTGAAAGGTAAAGAAAAAGTTTGCCTCTTAATTGTATTCAGAATACTCAAAAACCTCGAGGAAAAGGAGAGCTCCATTTTCTGCAAAGAAAACTGAGCTTATACTCTTCCTCATGGAATTTATATCCTGTTAACATTTATGTGAATTTTCCACTTGTTTCAAATTGAACTCATAAAAGATCCCTGGGGAAGGCAAGATTAGGAAGGATCACTGGGCAGGTATCTGTTCATGTAAAGGCACAATTTTTCATATTTTGCCTGGACTTCTAAACAGCCACATGCTCAAAAGGTCTGTATTTTCCGAGATGAATCACATCTGGAATGAGAAATGCCTGTTTTTCTGTGCCCCAACACTCACCACTGCTGCTCTGAGGGCACCCGCACATCTCACAGTAAGGCAGCAGGTCGTGGTTGGTGTAAGTGCAAACCTTGCAGTGCCAAACTTGGTTTTCAGCTGTGCTTTTGCTGGAAGTGTTTAAGCCACAAGGAGGGAGTTCACTGTTATTTCCTGAAAACAAGGAGGGCTTTTCTGCAGTCAGAGATGTTTTCTTTTTATCACTGCAGCTGCCTGGGGTAGATCCACTTGTGCTTCTGGCTCTTTTGGCTTCGTGCTTACAGGTGCTTTCAGGGCAAACTGGATCCCCAGCATTTACTGGTGTGGAATCCAGGTTTTCATCCTCTTCTTTTGTGACTTCAGAAGATTCTGTATCATTCTGTAACAATTCACTGCCAGAAAATCTTTTGCGTTTCTTCTCCGTGGAGGATTTTGGGGAAAAGAAGGAACGAATGTCGTGCTGCTTTTCCTTCTCAAACTAGGAAAGAAATAGAGAATTATAGAATCATGTAGGTTTGGAAAAGACCTCTTAACCCCACTTGTGACTGCATCAGGTGGTGTTAAAATTATTAGTTTTCTCCATTAATATTACCTTCTAATACAAGTAGTTGTTTTTGCTTTGAGGACAGAAACAAAAGATCCCTTCCTTTAAAACCAAACTGTGAGCAGAAAAAGCAATTTAATGTTTCCCTCCTGTTCTGTGAAAAGTATTTTCATAATTCTCAGGAAAATTCTGAAATAGCATTACTAGAAAACAAATATACAGAACTGGTATATTATATATACTGGATATATATGTGTGTGTGTGTGTGTGTGTGTGTGTCTATATATATGTGTGTATATACATATATATATATATGTGCCTTTTTGGAAGGTGCCCATTACAAGGAAAGGCTTTTAAACACTGTTTTAAATAACAGTCAATTAAATTCAGAACAAGTAATAAAGATGTAATTTAAACAGAAATTATTTGGTGGGTCTGTCACCTAAACATAACACAAGGACCCCTCAGAAGCCTGTAGCTGACATTTATCCCCAGCAGAGCACTTTTCCCAACTTCACAAAAGTTTTTAAATGGAATTTACATTACTTTTTCCTACTTATTTAGTGTTTCTCCCTTAGTAAGTCTGAAGTGCACAGAAAGCTCAAGCAAACAACAGTTAGAATTTTTAAAAATGAAATAGAAGAATGTAATTTCCAAGACTTACATGCGTAAATAAAAGTTCATTTCTGGGATCTTCTAGACTTTCATTTGGGGTCCAAGTCTCAGCAAAACTCAAAAAATCCCATTTCTCCTTATCCCCTTCTTCAGCCTGCATCTTCTCTTTCCTGCCATTCAAGGTGCTGCCTGTGACTTTGGCCTGCAGAAAGACAAGTGCAGAGAGTTTCCAAGGAATTCACGCGTTGGGGAAAATTTATTCACCTATAACCACTCAATTTGCTTCCCTTGCAAACCTAATTCAGCATTTGCAATGGGATAAACTGCTGTAATTAAAAATAAGTGATTAAACCTATTCTTCTTTCAGCATCCATTTGTGCAAGAGTAATGCCAAGTCCTGTATTTGGCATACTAGGAGTAGTATGCTGTACGCAAAATGTCAGTGTTTATTAACTTGAAAGAGAATATATGGTTGTGTACATCTCTAACAGTCTTATTATTGTTCTGCTTGGCACGTGGAGACAAACAAAGGCAGAATTAATTGAAAGCAGCAGTTCAGTGACAGAACTTGCAAGGTAAATTGCTATTGAATTACTGAGACCCATCTGTGCCATGTTTAAGGAGACTCATAATGCACCAGACTGACAGATTTTTTTTCAGAGGTACCTCCAAGAAGCAGAACACAGAATTTCATACTCCAACTGTATGTCAAGTACAGTTTGCAGTACCTGGATTCTTTGAGCAGTGGTTATTTTTCTGAAGAAGAGGAATATACTGCCAAACAAATGGGTACCAGTGGAGAACAAACCAACAGAACCACTGCAATACAGGGGCAGCCAAAGGCAGGACCCCCAACCATGAGCTCACATTTGCATCAGAATAAACCCTGTGTAGTCACAGACCCAAATGATTCTGAGACCTGGTGCTTAAAAGGTAGTTCCCTCCACAGTGACACTTGGGGCAGTGTCAGAGCACAAGAGCTCACAGAACACAGAGCACTGACACACCTCAGTTACCAAGACAAGACACGAGTGGTACCAAAGGTCACAAAAGGTCACAGAAGCAAAACAGTCAAATTATTTTTCTTAGTCCTGTGAACTGCCCAAGATCTTCCCAGTAAGGAAAAAAAAGCAGACTGGAACTATCCTAGCTTTAAACTGACAGAGGGCAGGGGTAGATGGGATATTAGGAAGAAATTCTTCCCTGTGAGGGTGGAGAGGCCCTGGCACAGGTTGCCCAGGGAAGCTGTGGCTGCCCCATCCCTGGAAGTGTCCAAGGCCAGGTGGGATGGAGCTCTGAGCAACATGGTCTAAAGGAAGGTGTCCCTGCCCATGGCAGGGGGTGGAACAGGAGGAGCTTTAAGGTCCCTTCCAACCCAAATCATTCTATGGTTCTAAGGTTTCTAACAACAACTGGGTAATACCAGTGGAAAATGGCAACAGAAGATAAGATCAGTGTAATCTTGGATCTACTGAAGAATTACCTGAGAATGCCTCTGCCTCTCAGAAAGAAAGTTGAGTTTAGGCACAACACTCATTCAGTTAAAACAAAAAACATAACAAATTCCAGTTGTTATGAGTGAGCAGAACACTGTAAAACTGCAAACTGAACAACCAGAGCAACAAAAGGCTGGAAGATAAAACCACCATCTCCTGTAGATGTGAACCATCCCGTTCACCTTGGCAAAGTGCTCCCTGAACCACAGGGAGTTCCTGATCCCTTGGCTCCACCCCACACCCACCTTGCGGTTCAGCATTGCCCACATGAGGGTGTCCATGGTTCCCTTGGCAATGAGGAAGTGGATGTTCACAGAGCTGCTCTGCCCAATCCTGTGTGCTCTGTCCTCTGCCTGTTTTATGTGGCCTGGATCCCAATACAATTCAGCAAACACCACATGAGTGGCAGCAGTGAAGGTTAAACCCTAAGGAAAATAGGTAGATGCATCTTAGAAAAAAGGTTCCACACACAAACAACTGATTATCTGAAGCAAAAGAAAGCTAAAGGTTGTACAGGACATTTTTATATGGAAGAAAGAGCGGCCACCTCGACAGCAGATGGGCCTGTTATACTGATTTCTACCTTGGGCCTCAGATAGGGATAAGTAAGATAAAAAAAAATACTTCAAAGACTGCATATTGTTTTTCATTATGGAAGTAACACTTATTTCTTATTAATCTGGCATTTTTAGTGAAATAGAGTTTTTCCTGATTATTCAAGAATGAGATGCTGCTGCTTATCATCATTTTTCCCAAGTAATTTCAAGAGAAGCTTAAAACAGTGAATGTGATTAGTGCAAAGAAATGAAGACCTGAGTCTGCAAAAGACAAATTGCATGAAGATAAATTGCCTTCATTAAATCACTTCAGTCACCAATGACTTCAGTACCTACAACCCTCAAGTATATTATTCACCGTATTTTCTTTTCTGTCCTACCTGCCCAGCTGCCTGAATGCTCAAAATAGCAACCCTGGTTTCAGGATCCTTCTGGAACTGATTGACAAGGTGAATCCTTTCTGCAGAGGGGACACTCCCATCTATCCGAATGTAGCGAACCTGTAACATCACAGCAGACACAAAATGACACTGTCAGGGTCTGCTTTGGACCCAATCCGCCTCTGTCCCCCCAGAAAAACATGAGAACAACTGTTCTATTCCTGGGATACATCAGCACTCATTTGCCCTTGGAATTACAATTAAGCCTCCATCTAGAGAAGTGTAGGCTTAGTGTTCCCTGGTTACAAAAGTAGAAGACAGAACAAACGAGGGATCTTAACATGGAATATTCCACAGAAGAATCTGGAATTGCCCTGACATGCTTTATTAAAATTCCAAGCATTTAAAAAATAACAACAATATAAAACAGCAAAGTTAGCCACCACTGCTAGCAATAGCTGAGAGTCCACGATCAGAGAAATGTGAAAGTTGTCTGCCAACAGTTTTACTGCTTTGAATGAAACACTCAGGTGAGATGATAATGTGCTGCTAAAACCCCAAAAAAGTAGACAGAGGCACTTTGGTAGAAAAGGTTGGAAAACAACTGCCTACAGCATTGATTTAATAATAATAAAGTATCATACCAGAGTGTGTTTACATCAAACCACATGATCCCTTTTAACCAAGTGGCACTGATCTGTATAACATGTAAAATCCTAAACTCCTGTAGTCATGTGCAGTTCTCCTGAGTTCAAACACAGCTCCCATGTATTTGTACATCTGAAGTTAAATCTGTGAGCACACTTGTTCACTCTTTACCTTGTTTTCTATGACAGCCTCTGTGCAGGCCTGCAGCATGCTCAGGTGGTGGGCAAAGACAAGGAACTTCAGCTTGTCATTCTCAAGCATCATTTTGATGTAATCCTTCACTGCTCCTGCCTGGAGTAAGAGAGTGTATTTCATTTGAACCATATTATGTTCAAATAGACATTTTATTTTAAGGTCTTTTGATCCCTTGTAATAGAAAAAGGTAAATTTCCATACCTTTTGTTATCCACGTTAAGACTTTTCAAACTCTAACATTGCTAAGTATAAAATGATTCAGATTTAAAAAAATGCCACCACTTGATGCCTTTGAAAAACCCAACTCATTCCTTCAGAGAGGAAAAAATTATCCTGGAAACATCATATAATTACATTGCACGTCTTCTGACTAGGATGTAGATAAAGCCCTTTTTAATTACATTTATCTGATGTTTTAATCCATATTTGGAAAAAAACAAACATATTTCAAAGGGACAAGGTAATGTTTAATCAGAACTTCTGCATCTGCACCCACATAAAACTATACATCAAAACTGAAAGAATAATTCTGATACTTTCATGATACCATAATGATAAAACACTGCTCTACTTAAGCATTCATAGAATCCTATTGTGTCAAATGCAATTTTCAATATCTTTTACAAAAACTATTAAAGTAATGATGACAGTTAATAACAAAACTTATCAGTGATCAGTTAATGCAATACCCACTGCAGCAGCCTTCAGATTTCCCTTTTTCCACTAGAATGGGGTTCTGCCTGTTCCATAAACATGCAGGGCAAACCAGAGTGTTTCTTCTACTAAGAAAAGCCTTCCACGCTCACCTTGGCAATGGCTGTTTCTTTGTACATCCGTGTGATCAGATTCATGACCTGAGAGAAGTGGCTTTCAGTGGCATCTGGATTCAGGTTTCTCATTAATTTCTCCCACTCTGCAAAAGTGGCATTCAAATTCTAGTAGGCAGAAGAGACCAGAGGTTACACACACAGTACAAAGCACGTTCTACCTCAACATGTACATTCCAAGTATGAAATGTTTGGGAACTGAGTGCTTTTGAGAACTCTGGCAAATTTGGCTAAAAGTAACTGTAGGATTCAAAATCTATGGGAAAAGAAGACAGAAAAAAGGATTGTACTAAAATAAAGACAAATTTTATCTCTGATGCAAAAAAACCTGCTTTGTAACGTTCTTTGTGTTATATTTTAAAGAGAATAACAGACACACCATGCTTTATATTCACTCAGTCTTTGTACTGCACATAATAACACACATATAAATGCAGATGGATACACAGATATTCCTATTTCCTAACAAATGTGTTTGTAGCAAAAGTGTAGCAAAAATGTACCTTTGCTGCGGCCTGGGGGAGGTCAAAGGGAATGCGCTGCCTGACTTTGGGAGGCAGCTGAGTTAGAACATCATTCTTCAGTCTTCTGATCATTATTGCACTTAAAAGTTGATGTAGTTCTTCTAAATTTGAAGCCCCTCTACAGTCCCATTGAGCTCTTTTCCCAAAAAACCTGGAAATGAAAAAAATCAACACTAGATCTTCCACATTCAGTGGAAAACTTCAGTACGTAATTAATTTTAAGACAGGCTATTAGATATGAAAGTGTGCTAGGTAACAATCCTTGGAGCTCCTGTTTGTGCCAGAGAGGTGATTGTTTTCCCTCTGATTCCTTCCAGTGCTGAAGTCAGAGCTGCTTCAACTTCCCAACAGCCCCCACTGCCTGCAGGAATTACCATCCATCAGCTGCACACAATCCTCTGCCTAATCTGCACTGCCGTGTCCACAGGGAGCAGAATTTTCAGGTATGATTTTGGAACTCTTGTTTCATAAGAAGAATGAACTACCATGAGAATATTCTTTATTACATTATAGGCAGGAAAGTCATCACAAAAACTGAAAGTATCACCATTAATATTCCTTTGTTTCCCTCCCTGAGAATTCCTTCCTAGTTACTGTCAGAGGATTTAAAGCTTAAGGTACTGTCTTTACATGTAATACTATTTAATGAGTGCGGTTACATAGAGGAAGTAGGTTTAATGTTAAAAAGTTAAGGTTGAAGAGAGAAAGAATTTATTAACTCAGTTTTCCTTATTCTTTCTTTGCTGTTTTTAAGGAGGGGTTGCAGCAGGAACAGCAGCTTTGCACTGTCAACATTGCCAAGAGATCATGAAATAATGAAAATGAGAGATTTTGGTGCCTTTGGAGAAGAGCCTAGATAGCATTTGCCAGAGCCAGAGGAGTATGTTGCAAGCATGTAATTTTTATTTTAAAAAATCTAAAAAAAAATATTAGATAATTTGAAGTCTTAATGAGCTTATCACCAGTGTTCTAATTGACTACAGTCACTTGGGAAAGCGGCTGAGGGAATCACTTCTGACTGGTGAAGTATTGGCACAACACACTGGGAATGCTGCAACACCTCCTTCTCCTATCCCTGCTTTTCTGTTTGTATGGCTGTCCTTGTAAAGGTCTCCTCCCTCCATCTTCACTGGGGATATAACAGAAATGGATGCAAAACCTCCCAGGAATAGTTTGGACCTCACCTTTCAAACAGGTGTCTATGGACACCTCAGTGAAAACCACCCACAACATAAAATATATGCACAAAATGAATCTATGGAGTTTATTACCACAGGATGTTTTGTTTCAGCCAAGTCATGAAGAAAAAGTTATTCCTCTGAAGCCTGCCAAACCCTGAACTTCATTTTTATTACATTTATGGTACTCCAAAAATAAGTTAATCGTCTCTGATTGAGTAGCTACACCAGGCTGTGCCCACACACACTTGTGGTGTGAAAATTACAGATGCATTCAGTCAAAACACCATGGAAAAAATAGCATTTCTCTGCCTGAAAACTAGACAGTGCTCTTCCATGGTATTTGAAATTAAATACTGATAAAATGTGTATGATGGAGGGAGAAAAACAAGTTTTATGAAAATGAAACTGTCATTATTACTGTAAAAATTAAACCTAACTGCCATCTAATTTACTTGACAAAAATCTGTTATTTTGAATACATGCAAAGTTGGAGATATGAAATTTTTTAGCTAAGAAATTTTTTAAAGGTTTTTCCCTTCTTGTAACTTCTCACATTCCAGATTGTAACATGGAGTCAGATGGGTAAAAGCAAGCATTTTAAATTGGAGCTGCTTCTATCCCCTCTGCTTTAGATCCTAGCTAGAGAAACCATCATTAAAATAAAGCTGAGGCAGGCAAGTCAGAGGGAAATGAATCCTCCTTAAATTAATAACTCAAAGCACATGAAACATATAAACTCATGAAAGATGCAAGAGAGAAAAATGGGTTAAAATTCATGAGTTACATGTGGGGAGAAGTGTGTAATGAGCAATGTCACTACACAAATTGGAGGCAGAGGGGTGGACAGGAATTGCAGTGGCTACATCGGATCCCTCAAACAGAATTACAAACACTACTGTGCTTTGGGGAGTTTTATTCACTTACTTTTATTCAGTAAAGCTGTAAAATAAAGAGACAAGTATTGGACTTTTTTTCCACTCAGGTATGGTGGGATAACAAAAAACCTGGATCCCACAATAAAGGGAGATATAAATTATTACATGAACATGAGCATAAGACTGAGAGTCAAAAACTCCAGGTCTAAAGGTAAAACCTACAAACTTCACACTAACAAAAGTAAATGTGTAAATAATTTTACTTAAGAGATTGCTGGCACTTAAACTGTATTTCAAACTTTAATAGCTTTCACTTTTATTTAATAAAAGTGGAATTTATCAATTTAATAAATGTAATCCTCTTTCCAATCCTCTTAGATGGAGGAGATGGTACCTCACCCCAGGTTTCCAAGCAGGATGGTGTGTTACAGCAGTAGAGGTACTACCTACTGATTATTTCACTTCACATGGCAAGAAAAATCACAGAAATAATAATCAAAGAGATAAGAAAATAAATAAGCAATTCTAGTAATACCTGACACGAGCATTGCAGTATTTTTTAGCATATTCACTCCAAGTTCCAAATCTTCTTGGAAACAGTGCCTCAATCTGCATGAAAAGCTGTATTTAAAAAAAATAGCAACAGTGAAAAATTAAAACTTGCCTGCAAATGTAAGACTATTCAGAAATAATTACTAACTGATCATTGTGTTAAGTCTACATTCTATAGCTGCACAAAAATACACAGCTTGGCCCACAAGCACAATTCCATAGGAGTACATGTGCCTTCAGACAGGACAGTTGTGGGAAGTCCTCAGAGAACAGAGCACCCTGAGCACCAGAACACAGCACTGATGGCTCGGGAAAGATTTATATTGAACAAGAAAACATGAATGCTAAGATGCTATTCCTAGAAATACAGCTTTTATCATTTGCCAGGTACATGGGCTTCTGCAAAACTTCAGTGCAGGTACTGCATGAGTAGTCTGCTTCTTAAAATATGTGAAAAACCTACTCATTCTTAAATTTTACTTCCAAAGACCCAATCCTTGAACTATATAAAGGTATTACACATTCTAACTTCAGTTCTCCGTCCAGGGTTGGTTCAATGTCTTCGGTACCTGTGCAGGAAGTTTCATAATTATCCACACCCGGAGATACAAATATTTGTTTTCAAATTTTAAGCAAACATTCATGATATAACAAGCCCTTTTCCATACAGTGGATATCTTTCTCAAGTTATAAGCTCTCCGAACAAATTAAATTATTAAAGGGTCTTGGCATAAGTTCTATTTACACAGCAAAAAACTCTAAAATGTAAAGTAGTATTTATATAACTCTCACAGGTTCTCTGGATACAAATCAGCTCTTATATTTAATTTATTTCTACACTTGATAAAAAAAGGCAGTTTTCTTGGGTTCAGTAAAAAACCCAAGTGTTTTCTGGTTTCCTCTCTGCTCCTCCCTAACTCCATAAGCTGAACTTCAAGAGAAAATTTGTCTTTCTGGACTGCAACAAGCACAGGATGTATTTTTGCCACTTATACGAACATCAGGAATATTCAGTGAAAAACCAAGGACTTCCTACATCAGATGATGAAGTAGAAGATTTAGTACAAGTTCTTGTTCACTAAAGACTCTCCTACCCAGAGGAAACAAACAGTTCTCTACTCAGGGTCTTTATTTTCTATTTCACCCAATAATCTGTTACCTGTGAGATTAATTTCTTACAAGAAGCATTGTCTCAAGTCACCTGTGCACAAGCTTGAAATAAGTTTGTAAAACCAACTGAAACAAAAATACATTGGTTTAGTTTCTTGTACTTGCGCCTCTCAACGCAGTCAGTGCACTTCTGGATGTCACAATGCACATAATTGTATATACTCAAGAAAACTGCAGAACTCTTCATTTATTACTGACACCACCCTTATAAAAGCCCCAAAACACAACACAGGACATCAAATACCTCTTCAGGTCTTCCCAGAGCAGGAGTCCCAGTAAGAAGCACAGCTCTCAGAGCTTTCTGCACAATTGGCAGTAAGATCTTGCTGCGGGTGGCGTTTCTGGATTTCATGTAGTGAGACTCATCAACCACAACCACCTTGAAGTTCTGCCTGTACAAAGTGTCTATCAAAGTCTGTGCATCAGAAGTTAACAGGCCATACCCCAGAATCGTTACTTTGCTGGTTGATATTCCCCTAAAAGAGAAAATCCACACATTTTCTTGGTAAATTTTCATTGTAGGAAAAGCAAAATGGCAAAGAGTTGATAAAAAATTAATTTAGGAAGGTATGAATGTCTCTTTTTGGATTGATTGGCTAGTGGGCTGTCAGGTGAACAATTAACTTTGTTTTTGTGTTTAAAATGTCTCACACTTTTCACACACACACACACACACACACACACACACACATACACACACACACACACACATATTTTCAGAAGCCATAAATTGCATTTAAAAGGACTGTCATGTATCTGGCTGTATTGCTTCAACCTGTGCCCACAGTATCACATGGGACAAATCCACTTTCTGGATAACAAGTTACACACAGCATTAGCACCCAAACACCTGAAGCAATAATGTCTCTGTGCAAGCCCTCTACTGCTCTGGGTACAGCATCCTAAGATGACTGTCTAGACTGTCCCTGAGTATCTGGGCACTGTAAAAGTACAGTCTGGCCTGAACCTCAACCATGTGGAGAAAACATTCCTGCCAGAGCTCTCTATCCAACTTTTTTTCTCAAACAGAATATGAAGAAAACAAAAAACCTGGAAGCAGGGAACCGCAAAAACACAAGATGAAAAATTAGTATTTAATTGGAAATGAACTCATCCTAATAAATTTAGGGATGTATATAGGTCCACAAATTGATTTTAAAATCACTAGAGAGCACTGTGGCCCTTCAGGAGCCTTTGAGCAGCACAGGAACTGAAAGCTGTTTGACAGAAATCACCAGAACGAGGGTCAGAGCTGGTGCACCCATCTGTCAGGCACCACTGCTCTGCTGGCATGATTTTTGTCTTTTCTTCAGTAGCAAGAGATCAAAAAACCAAGTTGAAGTTTCCTTGAGCATTTAAGAGGAAGGGAGTATGTGCATGTGCACACTGCTGGCTATGGAAGAGGCAATGGCTGGAGCACTGTGGTCACTGCACCACAGACTCTGGCTGTTCTGCACTGAGAAATGGAGCAACCAGGAAAACAAGAATATCCTCTATCCCTCTATGAAGTGTGTATAAAAATTTACAAATAAATCTATTTATTCTTAGGGAACCAACATATTCAGTAAACATCCAATTTCAAATGTAGCTAGAAATTACAAGAACCTTAATTGATGCCTAAGTATATTTTAACCCATTTAAATCAAAAAGTCAAACAACACTCCAACAGTAAATTTACTTGCTGAAGTTTTGAAGAAAAGCAAAGGATTGAACTGAGAGAAATCAAAGCTGAACATATGGAAGCAGAATGTAACAAAATGCTAAACCAAGTTTGGCAGTTGTATTTTTGCATTTTCTTGCAAATGCATAAAACACTTTCTAATGTTAAAATATTAATTAATTCAACACAACCTCACTTGTGGCTAGGAAGCCTCCTGGGAGTTAAGTTTAAACAACTAGAAACCCAAGTTTTCATCTTTCCTTGTTGTTGAATAGAAGTGATAATGGTTAAGGTGTACTCATTGAAAAAACTCTTAAAATATAAAAAGAACAAGATTTTGTTTGCCATTTCATTTTGCCATCATTTTTCTTACTCCACATTTCCCCTTTCTACATTCAGCACTGTAATCATTAAGTTTAAGTGCCTTTTAGTTAAATAGCTCAAAAAAAGGCTCATTTTAGTTCTTATATTCCAATGATAAACTTAAATCTTGACTATCAGCAGCAATTAAGCTCTAACCTCTTTTCAGTTGGATTTCTGTGGTTCCCACAAGGAAGGTTCCAAGTGGCACATCCTGGTGGTCAAGTCACTTTCTGATGCTCCCCAGACCACAAGAAGATCAGTCTCCCTCATACTGAAGTTTTAGAACAACACCCAAACATTACCATGAAACCACCCAAGTCATTTACAGTAAAGCAGACTAAAAAACCCTTGTAATTCAGGGTAACAGGGGAGTTATTCTACCAACACACCAGACGTAGCCTCTCTTTGATGAATTCATGCTGTTAAGTCTAAAGATAGAAAGCCTAGGTCACAATGACCTTTTCAGTTATTTAGGGATTACTTATTCTAACTTACAGATTTTCTCAGTGCACTAAATAGAATTTTAACAGTAATTACCTCCTCATTTTGTAACGTTACCAGAAGTTTTCAAAAAATGTTTTACAGAAGCTGATGAATTCATCAGAGTTGAGAAATAACTGTGTATGTTCAATCTGAGACACGCTGAAGGCATCTAATTTTCAGCAGACAAGCACTTGCTACTTTGCAAAAATCCAGATCTCTGCACTTCAAAGAAAATGAGTAACTACTATAAAAAAATTACACAAAACTGGGAGGAGTGGCTGATATCCCAGAGGGTATATCTGATATTCCAGGGGGGTTATCTGACATCCCAGAGGGTGGCCCTCCTTGAGCAGGGGGTAGAGAACAAAGGCTTTCCATAGAAGAATAACCAGTTTTACTCACCCAACATCAGTTTTGTTCTGGATGATGGTAATGTCGTCTGGAGAGAGCTCTGGAATCCACTTCTCCATCTCATCAACCCAAGGGTACCTCAGAGAGGAAGGCACCACAATCAGGAGAGGCCATTCATTTTTGTAGTAATATGAAATGGCAATTGCTTGAATGGTTTTACCCAACCCCATCTGGGAAAAGAAAAGAACAAGATTAAACACAGAAGCCTCAGCTCAGAAAGCATCTTCCACTCAGAAGAGCTAAAAAGAATTTGCAAAGACAGAGCCAGCTAAAGGAAACCAAGTTGAAGAGCTCATCACATAGTTTAATTAATCACCTGTTTAATTATCACTTGCTACCACAGATCATCCTTTATGAAACAAGATGTTTCTGTTAAAATGGATTAATACATTTGTTATATCTGGTTTGCTCGTTAAAGCCAAAAGAAGCATTTCCATTCTTTTCAGATTTTCAGTTCAGGTTCTTAATAGCATAGACCAAAAAATATCAAACTCTTTAACGTGTTAAGGTACAAAAACCAATTTTTTAAAGATTATGCAAAGGAAAGAAAAATATAGGATGCTTTTGTAACATAAAACCAACTTTGTTCTTAGTTGCAGAGGCAACTGGAGAACAAACAAGGGTCTGTGGGAACAACTCTGGTTTTGAACCAGTAGGTCAACAAAAAGGAACGATTGCTCTCATTCCCCAGAGCTAATGGGTTCTCTTTGGTCTGGAACACAGAGTGGGAAGTCCACAGTCAGAATTCATATTTACAGACAAGGTAAGGGGTAACAATTCAATATTTGTATAGAACAAGAAAGTACTTGGTTCATACTGTCACGGTAGGAAGGCTGTCCGTGAGTTATGACCACAGACAGCAACAGATGAATATAATATCCAGAATTTAGGGGTTTGTTCACATGGCAAGAGATAGTTACAGACTCCTGTTAAACACCAAAGCAGAGACTGGCCTTAAAATACTCTGTGCAGGTTTTCCATGGCGTCCAGTGGATATTGGAGTTCATTTGCTCCTGTCCAACTGCTCACAGCAGAGATACAAAACAACAACTCTCATCTCCAGTATTGAATTTAAGTGGACTGATGTAATGACATAATGGAGGGATTTCCCGGGTATAGAAGAAAACATAACGAATATTTCTACTATTACTAGAAATAAAAATAATCAGAAAGCTGCTGTGATACTAAGTTTTTGTTCAAAATTGCCAAGTTTTCATTAAAATTTTCCTGCAAGCTCCCCTTGTGTCAACAGGGGTTCTCAGGCCAGCTGAAAACAAATCCCAGTGAAAGAAAAAAACCCAACAAAATAACATTAATTTGTAGTTGTTGCCACAGTTGTGTCCCTAACTCAGACTGCCCAGTCCCTGGTGATGATCAAGACAACTGAGCTGAAAGGAGCAAGGAGTGAAAGCAGGGCTCTTGGCATCAGTGCACCCATGACCATATATTGTGGTCTTTGTTTTTTGATTTAAACTTATCTTTCTCCATCATGGAAATGGATGACACAAAAAAAGCTGAAATTTTGAGGGAAAAACATCTGTCCTCACTGCAGGGAAGAACGGAAATGTATTTTTAGAATACCTCTCAAAAACACTCATATATTACTTTAACCTTTACATAGTTACACAATGCAGGTATATGTACAGTAATTCTATGATCTCCAGTTTTTATACATAGCTTCTCTTTGTATGCAAACTCACAATACTGATATTTTCATTCCCCAACATTCTCTTATTTTAGAGACAGTTAAAAAGCTCAGGATATCCCACTGCTCAATACTTCCTCCAGTGCCAGACCTATAGTCATTACAAAATATACATTATTTATTTTGCAATAAATATATCTTACAGGACTTTTTATTGCTCACATAATTACACAGAGCTCATTTTCTCATTCAAGGAGGGAAATAAGAATTTTTTTTTTTAATAAACAAATATACTGCTGGTATTTTGATTTTTCCCAAGTTTCCCTTTTCTCTTCCCCTGAATACTTTGTATTCTTCACGGTTTGCAGAAATTTCACATTCTATGCCAGTTTATCTCCAGTTGTAATGAGATTTTTCTAGTATGAGGAGATGCTTAAATCCCAGTAATCCATCTCTCTCTCCCTCCTGGTGTGCCAAAAAACCCAAATTAGAATAGGGAGACTATATCAATCCCCAAATATTACCTCTCTTTCAGAAAGGTTTTACACTGACAACACAGCAAGAGCATTATTACAAAAATGTTTTATCTGTGGGAAGAAATGCTGGACTCAGATTTCCCTACTATGGAATACAATGTGAATTTTCAAATGTATGGAAGCAATGACTTTCACTATCAACCACTTGATCAGTGAGTTTAAGAAAATTCATCCTTGGAAACCATATCTGTTAAAAATCTCTTTGGACCAGAAATGTCCACTAGTCCATTAAGAATGCAATTATAAAGTGCTTAAAAGAAATCACCCGAATTAAAGTTTTTAAGATTGAAGAATTCATGAGATTTAACCTACCTAAATACAGTTAAAAGGAACCTTCTAAGCTTTCTCAAAGATTCTAACTCATGTCAGGATTCAATTTTTTCCTCAGTTAGGTATTTCCAGAATATCTGCTGACTATCACAGGAATTAGGCTGCTTTCATTACCAGCCTTTCTGCCCACATCTCTCAAACAAAAAAAGTCACCTCTGCATGAAGAACATTAACACAAAATGGTGTCAGAGGAACAGGAACATCACTTACCTCATCAGCAATCATACACCTGAATAAGAAATGAAAAGAGAGGGGGGAAAAAGCAGAAATTAATACTAAAAATAACAAATAAACCAATACTTACAAATGGATTACTATACATTTAAGCTGTGGATTTGCAGAACCAATGAAAGGAAAAAAGGTGACTTCACTCCTCCAGGTGTCAACTAAAACCAGTGAATTTGGTCTGAATTTGCAATTGCAAAACTGAATTGCTGCTTAGGTCTAATGATACATCAATTGTAATCTTAAGAGACATTTTCAAGGCAGGAAGTGCATCTTCAGGCTTGTTTTGTCTTTCAGAAACAACAGTGCTCTTGCTGCTTCATGATTAAGGATTATTTATATGTCAGACTGATTTTAAAAATCTGCTTTCCAGAGCTGTCACATTTGTTTGAAAATAGAAGCAGACACTCCCTCTCCCCCACCAATTGTACCAGCTAAAGTATTAGAAAATGAATTTGATTTTTTGCCCATTTTGGAGTCACTTGGAAACTACTCCACGCAAAAACAATGACAATTCCAAGTCTCCAGCCTAAATTGGTAAATTCTGTAAATTTACATTTTCTAAACATTAAATGCCACCTTTGATATGAATTTCTCAAAAGGTGCTTTAAGTAATTTAGTTTATTACGTACATTTTTAACTCAAAGAGGCTCTAGGGACCTTAAATGTTTCTAGCCCATGAAAGCTTCTTCATCATCCTGGAACTTGATGATCTTTAAGGTCCCTCCCAACCCAAACCATTCTGTGATTCTATGTGTACCCTCTGTCTGCCAGTGTAAATTCCAGTGTCTACCCATTTACCCAGTTTCTTTCAACTGTGGTAAAAAATGAATTAAAAATTAATTCTTATACAACTCAATTCTTTATAAATAACAAACTATGTATTGGCAATTGCTTTGCAACCCCCTCCCCCCAGCTGTTGGGGATGGAGCAATGAAAACAAAGGAAGAAAACACAAGAAAAAGCCTGCAGATTTCCAAAGGGGAAAAAGGCAGGAAGAGAACTATATTTAGTGGCAGCTCCTGAGTTAGGGTGTTAATGCCTGTGATTTGCAGCTGGGCAAAGACATTTACTTGCAGACAACTAAGACACAATTCTAATTTTAAAATGGCAGGTTTTGCTCCAAGACTGATTTTTTTTCATTAAATACTCTTTGTTAATTGCTTGAGCTGAAGTTTACACAACAAGTCTTTCTGCAGATTCTTTGAGGCCAACAACATTAATGTGCTTTCAGGACATTAATCATGTTTTTTTAAAACAGTTTGAGGCCTGAAATCAATTGGAATTCACAACATTAATGTGCTTTCAGGACATTAATCATGTTTTTTTAAAACAGTTTGAGGCCTGAAATCAATTGGAATTCACAATAACCTACTGTTGCAGTTGTACTTCTTACACACAGAAAATGAGTGACTACAACAGTCAGACATAGAGCAGAGGCAGCTCAAGAATAAACAACAGAACTTCTTCAATAAAAATTATTTAATATAAGGATATCAGGGCAAAAGTACAAATATAGCAATAACCAAGTAGCATCTGTTGTAAGGAAATGTGGAAAAGAGGACAGGAACACAAATGTTCCTTGCCAACTTGTGCTGACAAATACAGGATTTCTCAGCACATCAACTTAAATTCAGTAGAATTGCATAAATAATGTAATGTTAATTATGCCAGTTCAGACACACAAATCGAAGTGAGAATACATAAGATCCTATTGCACTGTTCTTTGGCATATGGGAATTATTTGGACCCTCCTTTTTCGATTTCAGGATAACAGGCTACAATGAAGAAATTCAGAGTGATTTACAAATCACTCTGACAATTAGAAGGTGAATAGCAAATAAAACAAAAAGCTTTAGAATTATGTCAACCACAGGTATAGATTTTTTTTTTTTCCATAAAACTAGATTTTTTCATTAGGGTGAACTGTAGCCACTTAAGCTTTGATGACTTGAGTATCTGCTATGACTAAGAAATTGTTCTGGTTTTCTTTCTGCCCTCATTTTCAGACTGCACCCATAGAACCTTTGGTGCTACAGAGTATCTTCTGTTTTCATGGTTATTGACTTCCACTTAATATGTCTGAAGTGAAACTTCTTATGTAGCACCAGCAAAGCTTTTTAAAGCTCCAGTTAAAGTATCTGAAGGTGTCAAGCCCTCTGTTATGATACACTTAGCAACATGAATCACTGCTTAGATCCACACACTTCACACTCGAATTCCTGAAGTGCTACGGTTTTTAAACTGCTAATTTATGCCAATTAATTAACATTATTGACACTCACACTTCATAAAATTTTGACATGGCACACCAGGTTGAGTTTATGATACAGCTAGAAGTTAATAAAACTAATGTAAGTGGAAATGGAAATGGAGGATACTTGATTTATTTTATGATGTAATGCATTTTAGAGCATTCATCTTGTGTAGCTCTCACAGCTCAAAAATAAGAATCCCAAAGATGCTTAATGTAGTTACAAAAGGTAAGTCCAAATTTTTTCCATTCGATTCTAGGGCAATGACAAATAGCTTATCTTACCATGAGGAAAATCATCAAGTGTTCCCAGTTTATAATCACAACAATCAGATTTGGAACGTAAAGAACTTGCCCATCATCAGAGCCCATCCCACAGAACTCACAAGGTGTCTAATAATTGCATTAAGCTGTTAAAAAGCAATATTTTACATAATCTTAGAAATATGCAGCCTCTTTTTAAACCAACCCTCAGTACAATCTATATTATTGCAGTCAGAGAAGCTGCCAGCATGGACAGAAAGGTTCCGTGCTGTCAAAGCAGAAGAAACAGACCTTCAGCTACATTGAAGGGACAAATATGTATTTTTGTTTCGCATATTTTGACTGCAGGAAGACAGACTTCTTGTTCTCTGAAGTTCAATTAGTCATTTCCTCTCAACTGGTAGTTACCCAATCTGAGCTTCATCATTCATGTCCCATCTGTTCATATGACACCTTAATAATAGCTCCATCCAAGAATATAAATCAGAGCTATGATACACACATTCATATCCTGTTATAAGCTCAGCCCACATGGGCAAAAGTTTCAGAAAAGCATGGAAAAAAATCATTTTAGATATCTCAGTTGCACTTACTCTCAGCAGCAAAGCCCAATCCTGCAAAAAGCACCACAGTCAATGGCAAATTCTTTCAGATTCGTTCCCATTTCATTTTCAAAGGTTTCCCTTCTTCAGAGCGAATCCTGTGGCTTTTACTTGAATCTCTGTCCATTCATCAAGGAAATCTGCTATTTTTTTCCTAGTAGAAAGCACCAGGATCTCATTGGGATGTACTGCACATGCTGCTACAACCTTCCTACTATTCACAACCCTCCTGCAGTGGTAGGGTCAGCAATGGACACAGGACACATTTGGACACAGGAGTATCTTGCATAAACAGAAGGTCTCTACTAGGATTTAATAGTCCTTTCATTTTGAGATGTATTATCTCTAAAATAAAACTACATTTTCCTTTAAAATGCAAACTCAAAGAGCCACAGGCAGTACGCTGGTGAGTGAACACACATGCAGAGAGCAAGGTCTATGTGCTGGTTCATCTCAGGTGCACAGAGCTCCAAAACCCTGTTGCTGACCCCCACCCTGAACAGAACAAATGCAAGCACCTGAGGTTACACACAAAACCCAGCACTGTGTGTGGAGATTTCTTCTAAATGTAGAGAATCCCTTAATTTAAGGGACCACACAAAGCTGGATGAGTCAGAATCAGATTGTCACAGAACAATCTTGTAAAGGTATAGAGCACCAAGCAAAGGTGCACTTACAGATTTTTACTGCCAAACCCTGGAGAGAAACCAGAAGGAAGCAAAAAACAGGTGAAGGAACTAAGAAAGAAATCCAAACCTGAGCCCTCTGAAAGCTCTCATCAGTAAAGTTCTGTCTCTGGAAGGACAAAAAGAGTAAGTTCTCAAACCTCAAAGAGCCCAGGAAAAGCTCCTGGTTGTGTTGATGTCAAGAAGATTGGAATCAACTTTGCAAAGCAGAAGGAGAAACAGATCTTGAAAATTTTATGCAGATGAGCTCATTGCAGAAGCAGGAGGAAACTGAGGTTAAGCTCCTGTGGCATATGCCATATAGGCACACAAAAATAGACTGCATCAGAGAGAGGGTAATGCTCAAAGAGTTTTATAAAATGAGTTTTGGGGAAGAACAAATGTTTAAATGAAAGTCATTTCTATTTCTGTGCGTCTGGGTTACATTCAGGTCACCCTTTTTGAAATGTCAGCACTATTAACCAAGTAAAGAATAGAGGCAAAGTCTCTTATATTAATTATGGCTACTTCAGCAAGGGATCTTCGTAAAGAGAAAGAATCTCATTTTGAACTTTGCTCTTGAAGGAATATCGACAAACACCACACTAGCACAAGTATGAAGTCTGTATAATCAAGGATCCCACTAAATCATACAGTTGATGATAAAGGTTTCTTGTAACTACAGAAATCTCTTGCATTCATATCCTTTCTAAACCAGACGGTTGTGCTTCCTCATATGGAGGACTAAAAGTCAAAGGGGTACAGCAATCCAATACACCTATTGCCTGCTTGTGGGGATAATTTAACTTCTTGACTGATTTTCAACACCTATTTATCCAGAAAAAAACAATAGTTAGAACTGCAGGTAGCTTTGTCAGAACAAACTCCTTCCTTTTAAACGCAATTTCCAAGGCAAACAGTCCAAGCAGTAGCACTTAATTTTTTAAAACACTGAAAAATTTTGTTACTACTGAAGCCAATGAAAGCTGTTTTTTGTTAATGCAGGCTTTGGAACATGTTGTACAGAGGAAGCTCACGTCTTTCTTTCACCAGTGTGGGTGTCCTGATATTCTTGGGATTCTCACCTACTCATGTGAGTCAGTTTTATATAACGCTACAACATATAATTTGCCTCCTACTCACAGGCCAACACTTTAACACTAACATCTTATCCCAGGGTTATTTAAGGAATCTGAACTTAGAACATTTTTATATAAAACTGCGCAAGCAGGCGTTCCATTTGTGTGTCAGTAATCACAGCACAGCCCCAAAACTGCAACCAAGAGCTGACTTCCTTGCAGAAATCATCAAGGTTGTTTCACCAAAAATAGTGCTCCAGGAGATGTAAGATAGGCTGTACCCTTGCTACTGAACTACACTATTTTAAAAACCCCTAAATAATAAAGAAACGACCTTTTTTTTAACATTAGATGCACTAAACTGCCACATCTGCAGCGCTGGTGGTTCTCAAAAGGAGAGTAGAGGAGAATGGTTGTGCTTGTCTGCTGCTTTCCTCCAACACTCCTCAACATGTGACTGAAAAACCCACCCAAAGTGCTTTATTAACATTTGAAAGCTCTCAGACCACATATTCCAGTATTTTGGGTTTGACAGAGATGTGTGGAACAGCACATATCAGAGTGGTCAACTTGAAGGTTGAGCTCAGACACATCAAGAAGTTTTTAGGTTATATCAGTTGAACTGTTAACGGAGGAAAACTCCAGTCAAGGAGACACCAAATAGTGATAGTGAAAACTCTTCACCTATTCAGTCACTGGCTGCAGAGCCAAATTGGTTCTCCAGCTGACTCAGGGCAAGGAAAACTGACTTCACTTAATTGGAACAGTTGGAATAACATCAACGAATTTCAGCTCCTGATAATCCAGGCTGCAAACTTAACCTTGCTGTTACCTGGCATGACTGAAATACCTGTGAGCAGCAGGTCTTCTCTAGCATGCAGACTTTCCATGAAATTCAGGTACTTGTCATGATTTTCCCAAAGACCTCTGCATCCCCAAGTGACTCTCCCTCTGCATTTATCTGCACTGGAAGAGCTGCAGAAGTACTGTCTTCACATCTTTCTCCTGTAAACTCAGGTGAATCACACAATGGGGAAAAGAATTAGCTAGAAAAATGTCTCATCACTAGTCTCTCACAATTCCCAGATTCAGTGTCTTTTTTTTCTCCAGTACCTCAAGCTCTCAAGACCACTGTGTTCTCCTACACTTGGTTCCTCTGCCATAGCAATCCTTCAAATTACTTTTATACATTCCAAATACTTCAAAACAACTATCCATTCAGCTGTTGACAGAATATCCCACTTCTTTTCTGACATATATCTCTGAACTAAGCAGTTGTGCTGATCTTTCCTACGTTGATTTATCTCCTCTACTCCAATTTGTCCCCCCTTCAACACAACCCAAAGCCATCAGAGAACATGTGGATTTAAATTGCTTACCCAGTCACCCTTGGGGTAGTTTTTCCTTCTGCTTATGTTATTCCTCTTCTTCCAACCTTCATTAAGTCAGTCAGAAATGACTCATACTTGTATGTTTAAGACTTTACTTCTTCTCACTTGCATTAAAGCCACTTGTCTCACACACTCCAACCTGATCACTCCCATTCTTCCCTCTCCCTGATGCTTTTAGTTGAACACTCTGACTTTTCCTTGTGGATTCTCACTCTGCAAACTTCCAGTGCACACAACTAACAGGAAATTCATCTGCACTTCCCCCTCTCTCCATCACTCTTGGCACCCTATTACCTGCACTTGTCTCTCTCTCACTTGGTTCTCCTTTTCCATTCTAACAAATTGTGCCCTGTATTTTGAAAATCTGTATTTTCTACTCTACTCCTGCTGCTACAAGTCCACATTTAAGCCCAGGCAAATACTTAGATTACTACCATTGCTTTTTCTATGTTCTTAAGTCCTATTTTTTTAACCCCACACAGTTCCTCTCCTGAATTATATTCTACGTTCACTTACTGACAATGCATTTTTTGTCCCATTTAAATTGCTTCCCCAGTTCCTCCAGCATCACTTCCAAACAAGTTTCCCTGGCTATGAGAGCTCTGCAGAACTTGGCTCAGTCTCTCATTCATACTTCCTGCATCTGAACCTCATTCTGTGAGCCAGCAGCTTCATTTAATCATCTCTCTCTTCTTTGGCACTTCTCAGATGTGAAATGTTCTCTGAAACATTACAAACCAACGTCTTAAAAAAAAAAAGACACCTTTCTTTAAAAACACAGGACACTCAGAGCTGGAATATATCAACTGTTTGATCCTCTACAAATTCACTAAACAGCCATTCCATTCTCTTTCCCCAGAGGTTACTTCCGTGCCTTGTTTTCTAATATTGGAAACAACTGCTCACCTGTTATTATGCAGGGTTCAAGGACAAAATTATAATAGTTTTATATATCTAGGTTGCTGAATATATTGGAATAAAAGAAGATTTCTTTCTTACTCTAGCAAAGACTTGTGCCTTGTTTCAAATCTCTCTCTCAGACTATCTAACCACAAATTACTAGAACTAGAGACAGAAGTCACATAAAAAAGTTACAATTTTATTTTTATTCCCAGTTCTCTCTGACCTGAAGATCTTCAAATAATGGAGACACTTGTTGATGGCACTTGATACTGCAAGCTACCAAGTACGAATTAAAATAAAAATGAAACATTCAAAGAAATATTCCCAGACATGACTTAAAAAAACCCCAAATGTGAGGGGAATTTCATTTTCTAACATGCAAATTTAATTAATTTGGCTTCTCTCTACATCAGTGTGGCAAAACCAAAAAGAATAAGTAGATTTTCCAAAAGAAAAGATGATTAATTTCATCTTGTCTGTGAATTTATCTTCTTCATGCTGAACTCTGAGTTCTCCATCTTAAGATCAAATTGGTCATGAGTTTAATAACACAAATTCAAATTAACTCCAGTCTCCCCAACAATGATACTACAAAGTTTGGAGTCATTGAAGGATGTTCTGTTTGGTACTGACACCAGTTCTACATCCTTCCCTGCAGCATGTAAGAATGATAAATACTCACTGTCATGTGCTCTTAAGGAAATAGCCAGAATGCTCACTAAGATTTTCAGCATCTTACTGAGCACAAAATGGCCCGATATGAATAAAACTTGAAGAAAAATTCTTCTTATAATATATATATATAATATATAAATGTTCTCCCTAAATACTGGTAATTATCAGTACAAATACTGTTATCAGTATAAATAGTGATAATACACTGAGAATTATCAAACACTGTCTACAGCTCCATTAAATACTAACTCTCTGTGTCAACCATTTCTGTTACATTTTTGTTTAGAAATTGATGGGTAATGTTTTCACTGTATAAATGAAGTTGTGTGCTTCTTGTTTAAATTAAACTAGGACATTTAAATAAACTAATAGAAACTAGTGTTGTGAGGACTTAGATGAAAACAGTAAAGCAAAATTCCACTGAAAATAACTGTGACATGTCTCCCAGGAGAGAAATACTAATAAATAACACTGGGGAAAAATTCAACAGTAGCCTGTAGCCTATAAAAATAAAATATTTTTAGTGGTGTTCCTTTAAACCATGTAGCTAATTCTAAAAAAAAACCAAAAAGAAACTTAGATAATGGCAAAAAGCAGCTGCTCTTGCATTTAATCACAACATCGACTTGCAGCAACCTGTGACCTTTCAAACAAAGGACAGAAAAATCAGACAGTAACAGATACACAGACATGGAACTGGGCTTAGTGCTTCAAAATGAAAATGGAAGACAAATCTATTTTCTTATTCATACCTACTATCAAAGATAAGAAACTGAAGAAAAGAAACACACTGAAAAAGCAAAACAATCAGTAATCTTGGATCGAAAATGGTAAAGATAAAAGCAAAGTGAAACAAAAGCCTTGGTAACTTGAAAGGGCAACACAAGACAGAAAGCAACAATGGCATTGTATAGAAGGAGAAAGAAAGATTAATAGATAACATAAAAATCAGAAGCAAACTCAGTAATAATGAAAAAACAACAGTGAAAGTGAAAAATAGTTAAATAAAAGTGTAAGACAAAAGGCCCCACTGCTCCAGCACAAACTAAAATGTGCACAGAAGTGCAGGGACTAAATGTATTTTCTCTTCCTGTATCAGCTTCCAAAATCTATGACTCCCTTAGACACCCAACTCAAGTGGAAATTAAACCTTTCATACAACTCAGTGACTAATACACCCTAGAAAGCTGAAGAAATTTGTATAGAAATTCACCCAAGAATTTAAATATCACATATCGGAAATTCCTGGCCCTACAATGGGCTGTGCCTGGGAATTCTAAACATTTCTATTTGCTTCCTGCCCAAGAGCTACATTTCTATGGTTCAACTACTAAAACCTCAGCAGACTGTGTGTACTCTACGTTACCAGTGAAGAACCTTCCTGTGTTCATAAGGTTTGAGGAAATTTTGATTTGAACCTCTGGTTTTTTTTGGTCTACTTTGAGGGTGGGAGGGGGGAATTAATTTCTACAAAGACTGATAAAGTCTTTGAAGTAAAAGTCTGTTCTAATTAACAAAGAATTAACTATGTGTTTCTCCTTTGTAGCCTGCTAGACATCAGAGACACAGTCAGTGGGAAAAAATGTACTATTTTGAAGTGCAGGCAACTGATTTGATATTTTAATAGAGGACACTGACACTCCATTCTCTAATCAGCTCACTGTCACAATGGTTCTCTGTACCCCACTACCAAAAGCAATATTAAACACTACACAACTTTTTCTTACTCTAGAAAGGGACTGCCTAACAAAACAAATATCCTTTCATTAAAACTTAATGCCATATATGAACTCTGCATATCCTGATACTGCCATCCACGGTCATTTACCTTTTGTACTGTGTCTGTACTCAATAAAAAACATTGACCCAGCATGTATGGGAAACTAAAAATCACCCTCCAGAATATATGTTAATGTAGTACCTCTAAAACTTAAAGAGGAAACAAGATTACCCCAGTAAACAGTTTGAGCACACAGTTACAATTGAAAAGCTCATTTTCGTGGCTGGTAAATATCTCCAAATCCTCTTTTACATCCACAAGCAAGACAGCTTAAACAAATTGTTCTGCCAGCATATCTAGGAGGAAAGATGTGTCTGAAGGCATCTTTTGCAGATACCATCAACTAGGCAAGCAATACTAAATAATGATGTTTGCAGATCCCATGCTGACAGCTTTTATGACGAAGCCTGATAAGGCATTTAGTGATATGGTGAACACATGTCACCCAGGAGCACAAGGACTAACTTTCAAACAGCACACCTCTGACTTTTATAGTGCAGTCAGGAGAACAAACTGTTTGTATTTCGAGACAGATGTCCCACACTTCTGTAAAGAGAGGATATAAAACAAGAAAACATGGTAAAAAGAGATTGTGAGTTTCCAAGTGCTACATTAGTGAACAGCAGCAGTAAAAATCAATAGTATTCAAAGAGAGATGTGGGCTCAAAGGAGATTGAATACAATCCTTATCAGTGCTATCAATCATTTGCCCATGTATCTCTGTAACTTGGGTATTTTGCCCAAGCTTCTATCACTTTTCCAGAGTACTGTGCTTGGACACTGCCACCTCCTCTTCACCAACACGTGGTGACTCCTCAGGATTTCCTAAGCCTATTGCTAAGAGTTTATGTTCCTAGAAGGGACAAGTTTGCTGGTTTTTTTTTATTTAACAGATAGTTTAAAGCACATATAAATAAATAAATACATATTATTGCTAGTTTTAAAAGTAACTTAGATCTTTACTGAACAAAAGTCATAGAAATAAAATAGTCTTCAAGGACATAATTTGTGTGCACCCATCTTTTCTGCACATTAATGTCTGAGGTTATAAATAAAGACCGTATGTTGTATTCATCCCTAAGTAGCCATTCCCAAGTGCATTTCTGAAGAATAAACTCTAGGAAGGAGTAAGTAGCCCTGCAGTTATTTACCTTTATGGCATGTTTGTGAGGTAAAAGGTATCTTAGCATATGTTGAACCATACACTGCCTTACTGGCTCTAGAATTATCAATTCCTAGAAAAGGGTTGGGCAGTGTCTGTCAGTCCAGATGATGCCCTTGGAGCATCTACTGGAAAAGCCTTCGATTCATTTACTAATGAAGCAAAAGCACAAACCACAACAGTATATTTATTTCATACCTAGGAACAGATAAGGGAATTAATAGTTCACTCCCAGCCCCTTCCATGCAAGAAATAAAAGTTTGTTCCAATAATAAGTTCCTTTTTCAGGCTGGGTGCTTGTCTAACCTAAGATAAGATTAATTAATTGAATCTCTTCAGCCAACAGGATGCTGTTCTACACTTGCTCTACACCAGTTTCCTTCCACTCCAGCAAAGCCTGGATTAAGTGATGACTGCAAGGAGGGCATAGCCTGGGGGAGAGAAGAGAGATGAGCTGAGGTGCACACATTGCTGACTTCAAAACCTGTGTTTATATATTTTTTAAAACTAGAAAAGACACTTCTACAGGAAATCACCAGACCCTGCTAAAATATACCCCTGGGGATACTGAAAAAAGATTTAAATCATTATGGAGTACACAAAAGGGAAAGACTTGGATGAGCCAAGGGCTCACAAACTAATGAGAAAATTCAGCTGCAAGCACCAGAGGCTTTTGTTCTCTGTTTTGGGACAGGAAGAGAAATAGATCTGCATGAGCAAGGGACAGATTGAAAAACACTCCTTGGGAAAGTTTGAATTAATACATTTTAATTCTGATAGAAGCTGGCTGAGAGTGGGCACACAATGCCCCAGTTTGACCCAGCTAAAACACAGGATTTGGTGTGCCAAGGGAAGAGGTTTCTTGCAATCATGATGAACATATTTCCATATGCAAGCCACATCAAAACCATCAGAGCCATATTATGCAAAAGTCTTGTTAATGAAGGGCTTCAAGAAAAAAAAAGAAAACAAACATAAACCCCATAACCCTAATGAAACTAATATAATTCCCTCCTTGACAGAGGCATTAGCCTAATTCCAAACTTTTTCAGATTACTTATTGCAGCCAATTGTTACTTCTTCAACAAAGAGAATAAAGAAATATCTGAGTAAAATGGATCCAGTCCTACAGTTAAGTTGCTTCCTGAGGAACCTCTACATTATATAATAGGCTGCAAAAGATAATGCCTCTTTCA